ACCTGGGGAGATGCTTTAAGCACCTCGAGCTTATCTTATCTCTGATACATTCCAGAGGTGCAACTGCACAAATGACTGTGCAGATTTCCTTGGAGGGATCAGAAGCAGCACTACGGAAACTCCAGCTTAAAACGTCTCCAACTGTGAGGTTTTGGCAAGACAAATTAAAAAAAAAAAAAGGGCAAAAAAAAAAAGCCCAGAACATTGTTCCTTTGTCTCTAAAGTTTAGCTAAAATCCAGCTGATTTCATGATGAGAGCAGAACCCTTCTTTCCAAATCCCCCCCCAGCAAACCTCTGGATAACACTCACAGAAACTGTTTCTGAGCAGACACGGTGACGTCTCACTGCACGTTCTCCCTTCAAATCTCCATCTCTAAGCACAAGGTCCATGTTTTCTCCTTTGTCTCCCTTGACCAGCAGTTCAATCTGCAGGGATGGAGTTACCAGGCCCAACAATCCCACCCTGTCCCTCAGAGTGTTGTCCAAACCCTCCTGGAGCTCTGGCAGCCTTGGGGCTGTGCCCACTGCCCTGGGGAGCCTGGTCAGTGCCCAACCACCCTCTAGGGGAAGAACCTTTCCCTGAGATCCCTTCTCCCTGCACTTCCTCTCAGATCTGGGCTTGCCACCTAAGAAACCAAGGTCTGATGAGCAACAAATTACCTTTGTTTGTATCCCACACACCACAACCTTCTTTTGTGCTTCCACGTGAGCACAAGGCTTCCACCCCACACCTGCCTCCGAGCTCAGGGAAGGACATTTTCCAGAGCACAAGAATTCCAGCCAACAGGTTCATGTAATAAAAGCTGTTTGGGGGGGAAAAAATAAATCAGTAAGAATCCATATAAATCCATATACATCCATAGCATCCAGATGTCCAGCTCTGGATGAGACACAGAGCACCAGGCAGGGATCAGCAGCAGAACCAGTGACATGAGAGAGGATCGTGCCAGCATTTCCTGGATATAATGTAATGCAACACACCCCCACCCCGCCAATATTAAATCCAGAAGTCATTGTTCCTGGTTTAGACTTTCCTATCCCAACACAGAGAGCCCCAGCAGTGCAGCACAGGCAACCTCTGCAGTGATTTTAAATTTCATTTGCCTCAGAAGTGGATTTAGAGAGGAAACTCACCTTAAGTCCTTCCCTTGGGCAACACAAGGCACGTAACACAAAATACAAGAAATAAAAAGGCAATTGAGGGGTTTTGCTGCGTTTCTTTTGTGCTTTAGTCAGTGTTTTGGGGCCGATCATTTCTACCTTTGAGGCTCCAGGTATTTTTTTCTCCCAGTCCCTGCTCAACCACCACATGACAGGTGGGATTCTCGGGGTGTCCTGTGCAGGGCCTTGATGATCCCTGTGGGACCCTTCCAGGTCAGGAGATTCTGTGGCTCTATGGGGAAGATTCCAGTCAGGAATGCACACTCTGTATCCATGGAAAGCAGAATTACTGTGGAGCTACTTACTTGAGCAGGATGGGAGTCCAGGAGAAAACACATCATCAGACAAGGCTGAGACGTGAATCCCATGTTCACAAAGCAAATATCACCAGGGAACACCCCAAGTGGAAAAGAGAAGGAAAGTATCAGCCTTGGGAAGAACCTCCTCAAGTGAAGGTAACGAAGAATTCCCAAGTCCCTCCTTCAGCAAAGGCAGGATTGGTGGGTTCTAACACAGGAGGAGGATGTCAGGAGGCAGCGGGAGGTGGTTTGTTCTGGTTCCACCAGACATTTTTCTTCTGGGATGACTCCACTTGATGGTTCTCATCTGTCCTGGCACAGCCCCAAGCCCCACACACGTGCTTGGCTCATGTGCTGGGTTTCTATTGCATCAGCTGGTCAACCCCTTAATCCTGATTTGTTCACATTTTACAGGGACAAACATTTCAGTATTTAATTGACAACAACTGCGGCCTGGGAAAAGGATTAGAGACAGGCTGTGGTCAGGGCTGGGGAGGCCAGTTCCTCAAGGGACACTGGTGACACTCAAACACTGCTCAAGTGATGGTGACACTGAAGGGGAAGAGCTGCTTAAACAGGAAAAAATGAGCCTTTATGGCAGCACTATTTCTGTCCTTCCCTAAGATAGCGAGCTGGAAAAAAACAGAGCCTGAAAATATTTGGAGACGTGGTTCCCCATTCTCTTGCCCCACTCAGGGACAGCAAAGCTTCTCCTGTCCCAAATCACTGGTACAGTCAATGCAAGACCATCCAGATTCCTCAGGGACAGCCCTGGGGAGGACACACACTCACCTGACCCAAGAGGCAACATCACAAACAGGACACTTCTCCATCTGTCCCAAGGGAGAAACTCCAGAATGGAAAAACTTCCTCCTTTAATTTAAGGTCCTTGGTGGGAAGGAGAAACAGTTGATGGCTTTATTGACTTATCCTGAGGCACCACAGAAGTAAGAGACACTGGATTGCAACCACCACCACCACAGGCTTTCATATAAATGATAATTTTATTGTAAATAAAACGATACATTGGCCTGGCTTTGCACTGCAAGCCCCCGGTCGGAATATAGAGACTACTGGGTCAAGGTCTTCTGCACAATCCAGGTTAAAGCCATTTCTCCCTGCTCTGCACCGTTTATGGTGAGGATAAAATCCTCTCCTTCACCTCTGAACTGCCCCTGGCACAGCTGCCTTTGCCAGCTGGGCAGTTCAGAGCTGCCCAGTGAGATCTGCTCCTAAACAAGGCTGGGTTTAAACACCTGAAGCCCAAACACCATTAAAACACAGAGGACGTGTTTTTTTTCCCTGAAAGTTAAAGCCTGACTGACTCCCAGCTCCAAGGGCAGGTGCCAAGGTGGCAGATCAACCCTCTCCAGATCAATCCAGCTCCAGGTGCCAAGGTGGCAGATCAATCCAGCTCCAGGTGAGCCCCAGTCCCTGAGACCTCACTGAGCTCCCCTTTGCCCACCCAAACCCACATTTACAACAGGAATGTTGGTTTTTTTGGGGCAAGTTATCCCAGCTCTGGGCACTTGGAAGTAACATGTGTCACCTGAGCAGGTACCAGTTTCCCTCCTGGGCAATTTGTGTTGGTAATTAATGGCAGCAGGAGCTGTTTGGAGCATCAAGTCCTTTGGAATGTTACTCCAAAAATAAAGTAAATCCAAATTGCTGCAACCTACTGCCACTAGAATGGGCAAAGCTCAGATTTTCTGGAGAGCAAGCAAATAACCTGGAATGCACAGAATCGTCACACCAAGCCCAAAATGCCCCAGTTTGTTTCCTAACAAACTCAGGGACAACCAAATCCCCCAAGTTCCTCTCTGATGGGAATCTCAGACATTTTTCTGCCCAGTTTCAACCGTTTCAGGATACTGGGACTCTGACAAATTCTTTGTCAAACAGAATATCCTCCATTTCTGCAGCACCCTCCATCAAGGATCCCAATACTCAATATTCCCTATATATCCCTCCCTGGAAGGAACAGCAGGAAACTCAACATGACATTTGGACTGGACACAATAGCTTATTGTCAGCCTGGCACTCCTCCTCCACCCTCCCCTGAATGAGTTTATTCCCAGTTTTCCCCAATTCTGCCAGCATAAAGAGGCCAGCTGTAATTCAATTTTGAGGCATAATTACATTTATGTCCACTTGAAACTCTTTTGCTGCCAGGGCTGTTAAGAGCCCACGGGATCAATATCAGCCCCAAGTTATTCATCGGAGCAGTGGACTCAGGAATCCAGATCTTCCTTTTCCAGAGGGCTGTGAGGAAACAAAGAAGCATTTTGGGCTTGGCTCTACTCGTTATAAACCATCAGCAAATTCTCTGCAAAACCAGCTGCTTTTTTTCCTTTTTAAATTCATAAAGGCGTCAAATTTATTTCCCCTCCTCCTCCCGCCCCCCCCTCCCCCCGTAACAGTCGATATATATAAAAATCATCAAATATGATCTTTTACGATATAAATAAAAAAAAAAAGTATGAGGCATCACTGTTTACATGATGTAAAAAGAGCTAAAAAAGAGCGATATAAACTACATTCATAAAAGTGCATCTCCAAACAGACAGGTAATGCTTTGGCTTGTTCCTGTGCCGAACGGGCGGCGCTGGGCCGGGGGCTGCAACGCACAAGTCCAAGCTGGCACCCCATGTTCTCTGTCACTGTACAGCTATTTAATTCCATTACTACAGGCTGGAATACAGGTGGATACACAGAGTAGGCACATCTCAGCATAGGGAAGGGCCAGGACTGAGCCCATCAGTCCCTGGGGCTCTTTGCTCTGCTCTGGAACAGCCTCCCGTGACGCGGATGAGGTAAAAGCCACAACGGGTCCTGAGGATTTGAGTTGCTTTGAAACGTTAAAAGTGACACCATTTCCTCATGCCCTGTTCTCTCCCAGAACGCAGCGTGTGGGATAACAAGGAAAAATCACGGGAGAAGGTCTCAATTTGGTGAGGACAAGCCAAGGAGAGGGAGAGAAACCCCCGCAGACGTCACTGCGCTCCCCATGGCTGCAGGGTGAAGGGTGGTGAGTAAAGATCCCAATCTTTGGTATATTTAGGTGCTGGCTGCAAGGCCTGAGAGTGATTCTGGGCTCCTCAGGAGTGCTGATCCCCCTAATCCTGTCACCCAGACTCCAGGGATGATCTCACATTCCCCAATGTGTGGTGTGAAAGGCTCCCCAACCCGAGCAGCGGCATCGCGCCCTCGCTTCCCCTCAGTGCAACAGTGAAGTGCAGGCCAGGACTCAGGCCAAGGGCCTCGGCAGCCTGGAGTCAGGTTCCAGGCTGGGAAAAGATCAATAGAAGTGCTCTCACTAGGAGTAAATAAGTTATGGACCCAGGGCTTTCAGGGAAGGTATCCCCTAAGTGCCTGCAAGCAGAGCAGTGCATCCTTGTCGCAGTGCAGGGGGAAACCAGCTCTCACTGGTTGTACATTGCTCTGGGTTTGGCACAGGAAAAACACCTCAGATTGTTAAATCCTTTCAGGACTTTTGGTTGGTTGGGGGTTTTTAGGGTTCTTTTTTTCCTTTTTTTTTAAAATTTAACACAGTATTTATCGTGTGTTCAAGGAGCTTGGTTTCATTAAAAGTTGCCTTATCCTGCCATTAGCATTCACTTAAAAATTTAATTTTACTGCATTATGAAGCAATTTTCAAGTTTTTATGGGGGAGAAGAGTGGAGGTGTGTGAAGCCTTAATATGGTTTCCAATACAAGAGCAGAACACCTTTAGTGTTGCCTTATAAAGCAATATTTTAGCTAATTAACATTTGCTTTTCTTAGTTTCATTTCTCAGAGATAACTTATATGTACTCCATGAATCCTCAGCATTTAAAAACTGATGGTCTTCTATGAGTGAAACACAGATTATTAGTGCCTAAACCAACACAGAGGGTCTGAGGCCATCAGGAACTCAAGTTCTCAGACTTGTGGTACCTTTCAAAAGCAAAATCACTTGGATATGTTTTGCTGGCACCTGTGTGGGGATCTCCAGGTAATTTTAGATATTTGCCACCAATTCAAATGTTCTCTCTGGTTCCTTATTTGACTTAACTCCTAAAAAGCTTATTTAAATTGGGCATTTTATGGAAGTCTTAAATAACCACTTGCACACCTATAAAACAAACCACACTGAAGGGCTGAGTTCGATTCCAACTTCCTGTGCCCAAGAAAAATGAGTGTCCAGCTAATTTACCCATGAAAAACTCGATTTTCCATTAGCCAGGTGCTCAAAGAAATGCTGAAGAAATTCCTGGGCATCAGATGGACTATCTTTGGTTTAAAGGATGGCAAAACGTTACCAGCCAAAAAGACGGATGCAGCAGGAGGTTGTTCTGCAGAACTCCCTCCCAGAGGGGTTTTGTTTGGACCCAGCAGCCCCAGAGAGAGAAGCAGGAGCACGGATTTGTTGGCTATGGGGACACAAACTGACACTGCCTTAATGCTGGGGCAGATCAAGCCTTGGAAATCAAGCTCTGGATTTTCCAACGTCAGTGGGAGAGTCCTTCCCTCAGGCCCTGGAGCGATTGCATTCTGCTGAAACTCTTCTGATTATCCTGACATTTGGCTAGAAAGACCTCCCTCACCCCCACCCCAAAATCCATGGGCTCATTATAAAATAACACTATTCACATACTTTTGAATCAATATTTTCTGAACACCTTCAGATGCTGAATACTTAAGAAGAAAAATATATCATACTATAGCGAGCGCATGCTCCATGACACATGGCTTTTGGCTGGATTCAGGGACTGGAGATGCCTCTGGAGCCCCTGGCTGGAAACCAGGGACCCACACACACACAGAGCTGGTCTGGAGGCTGTTGCATGTTTCTGTTCTGAAGAGTGGAGCTCTCCCAGTTCCCACCTGGGTTCAAGATTTCTTCACGTTCAACCAGTGGATCCAACTTGTTGGATTCCCATTCCCGGGCCTGCAGAAAACACGCAGCCAGCTGCAAGGTCACATCCAGGTATCTCAGGGCAAAAATCCAGCTGTTTGGCAGGATGAACATCAGTCCAGCAAACTAAGGAATCAGGCACGAGAGCAGACCCCAAGTTCCTTGGCATAACTTCCCCAAAGGACAAGGCCAGCTGAGTTGGCATTTTGAAGATGCAGCACCACAACGGGCAGTTGCAACGAGACCAGACGGGGCACGGAAAGCCCAGCAGGAGCTGCGAGCAAGGGAGGTAATTCAGTACTGGAGCTGTGCAAACTGGTGTCTGAGCAGCTCTTCAGCAGAGGGTCTGTGCCTGGCTTCCACAAAGATCTGCTTTAGGAAGTCCCGGCAATGTTCTGATATGTGGGAGGGGAGCTGGGGGTTGGTTGGCTGGGTGGCGATTTTGAAGATCGCGGCCATGGCTTCGTACTCTGCCCAGGGGGGCTTCTCTGTCAGCATTTCCACCACGGTGCAGCCCAGGCTCCTGGGAAAGCAGGCAGGAAAAACACAAGTGAGGATTGACTCAATAAAGCACAGTGTTCAGGGAGAGCTTCCAAGCAGCCAACAGCAAGGTGCAGCTCTGGGAACGGCTCTAAAATGGGTTTGTGCTCCAGCTCAGAGCCAGAGCTGCCAGCACTGCTGCTTTCCCTGCTGCCAGGAGAGCAGGGAAGTGCTGAGCCAGGGGGGCTGGTCCCACTGTGGCTCTGAAAGTACCATCTGTCCTGCTCCCCTTTGCTCAAAGTCTCCTCACAGGAAACATTTGTGCTAACAGGGGACAGGACGTACACGTGAGGTGCCCCTGAAGGCACCATCTGACCTCAGTTCTTCAGGTGCTGCTGCTACTATTGTAACTCAAAGGCACTTAAAGAGTCACAGGATGCCTTGGGTTGGAAGGGACCTTAAAGCTCACCTTGTTCCAAGCCCCTGCCATGGGCAGGGACACCCTCCACTAGATCAGGTTGCTCAGGTGCTTGACTTGCTGAGTTGCAAGGTAGAAAACAGACTTTTTAACCAAGGGCCAGTGAATCAAAGCTCACTGACCCCACAAAGCCATTTCAGCAAAATCCCTTCTCAGTCACAACCCTGGAATGCCCACGTGGGGAAAAAAACAACCTAATAATACCTCCACAAGAAACCAAGCATCAGTCAAAAAATAATTAAAGTCCTAACAGCTCCAAACTGGGAAGGCAGTAAGTTAAATCCCAGTGGGACAGACGCATCATTACCTTAAGGAAAAATTCCTTGTAAAGTTAATGGGGCTCTGCAGGGTTCTTCAAGGCAAGAACATGATTCTGGGGACATGGCTGAGCCACCTTTCTGAGGCAAACGTGACACCAATACCTTCCCAGGGAAGATGGTTCTGCAGCACTGCAGTGATTGGGTTTTATTCCAAAAGGATTAATTGTTTCCTCCAGGCCATAGATTAAGCAAAAGCAGTCAGTGAACTTTTAATATCCAGTCCTGTGTTTTTACCACATCTTTCCATTAGGAAGGCAAAACTGCCTCCTCTACCTTTAAACTAAACCCTCTTTTGAGGTGAAAGACAAGGAAAAGACATTTTCAGAGGCAGACTTGCATCAACTGCCAAGGCAAGGAAGGAAAGGAATTAAATTCAGTGAATATGCAAGAACCGATTTCGCGACAAGATCTAAAATCCAACGTGAAAATTTTACAGTTTTCCAGCCATTTCAGACTTACTAGAGGAGAGTACAGAAAATGCAAACCATGTGTGCTCAAGTGCTGGGGGTTTGCTCAAAAGCAAGCAGGGATGTGTTATTGTTTAGACTGATTTATACCATTTAAGCAGATCCGGTTTCTTTAAGATATTCAGCAAACAGCAGGAATGTTTTTCATGTCAAGTCACTCCAGCAATAACAAATAGCTCACATATTCTGCTATTTAGGAAAAAGAAAATTGGAGAGGGGCCTGCAGCAGTGGCTCAGAGCCAGGTGGATGGATCTGTTACGTTTCTGAGCCCCTCGGCCATACACATCCACCCTGGGACCAACTGCACTGGAAAATTCTGACCCCCCTAAATAATGGTTGGGATTGTAGGAACTGGAGCCCAGCCAACGGCAGCGACTCTTTGATGGGAATGGACCAATGTCAGCAGCAAGAGGAAATCCACAACTGCATCAGCCCAGGGGGAAGGGCACGTGCTCCAATCTCTCCCCAAGCATCCCAACTGGGGGAGTCTGCAGAGCTTAACTCTTTCCACATGAGACATTTCAGCTGCACTTCCACTCCCTGCTTGTTCAGGGAACAGGCCTTTCTTTACTGTGGAAGCACAAACAGACCTTTTGTTGCTGTTGTTCAGTTTAGTTTTATAATCTCACCTTTTTAAGGCCTCCAAACCCAACATTTTGGCACAGGACCATTTTGCTCTTTTGATAGAGGCTGTTTCTTGGCTGTGCCAATAATAGCACAGCCACAGTTTCCATTCATGCAGATCATCTCTGATCTGATCCGGATCTTTTGTGTTATTCCAGGTTTGGGCACCTTTCCTTTTAAGCTCAAATTCTATTCATTTCCAGTACGTTTTAAGCATAACTCACTTTATAACTAAATGAATGGGCTCTCCCTAAACAACTTTCAGTTGCTCTTCTAAGGGATATCATGGAATGATATCTCTTCCCTACACTGGAAGAGACCCACAAGGATCATTTACCCAACTCCTGGCCCTGCACAAGACACCCCAAGAATCCCACCCAAGAGCATAAGAAGGATGACAACGTTGCACCAGTCAGAGAGCAAAAAAACAGCTACCAGTTCAAGGGAGGAATGAATGGAAACTGTTCCTGAGAAACTAAACGAGTAGCTGGGTGCTGACACTGCAAAGCACAGCCTGCAGCAGGTCATGCCTTGAGTTCAAACCGACGACTTCACTTCGCCTTCGACTTCTGATCCAGACAAAACATGAGTTTGGATTTATGGATGGCAGAAGTATCTTGTGTGGCTCCAGATCAACTGAGCTATGGGCAGAAAGTTAAAGGCTCACCAAACGTCCGCTTTCCTCCCGTAGCCTTCCCCGCTGATCACCTCGGGGCTCATCCAGTACGGAGTGCCCGTGACGGAGCGGATGCCTGTCCCAGACATACAGATTGTCTGCAGCCGTTTGCTGGCCCCAAAGTCCCCGAGCTTCACGTTCCCAGCAGAGTCACGGAGAATATTGGCTCCTGCACAAAAACAAAACCCGAGGACAGCTGTTTCCATGTGATCCAGCTGTTGGATCCGCGGCTCCGGAGCCGATGTCCAACCCCAAACACCCGTGCTCACGGCATGGCTCCTTCCCCATTGAGCCTCAGGTGACCTGCTAAACACCATTGCTTTAACTCAGGCTGTAGACAAGCCAATTGCTAATGGCTGTAAATGGGAAAAACTTCAGGGAAAAAACACAAGGAAGTGAAGGGGGGAGGGAAATGAAAGCTGAGTCAGCACCAGCATTGTTACAGTGCCTGTAAACAGCTCAGCCAGCCTTACAGGGCCCCCAGGCCACAGGCTGAGAGAACAGAGCTGTGGAGAGAAGGATTTTATTGGGATGCTGCTTTGGTGACTGCAAGCATTGCTTTCTGGTCAGCTGGGTAACAGATGTAGCCAATTAAACCACTTTGAACTCCTACAATAAACAAGTCAATCTTCACTTTACTTGGTCAGAGGTCCTGAACATGAAGCACCAGGGAAAAAAAGAAAACTTTAGAGCTTAGTTTGTATGTGGACACAAACTGAGGCTTAGACATCAAAACCAATTCTTCCTCCAAAGCTACTATGAGATCAAGAACCCCATGTTGGCATTATCTGGTGTGTGCCTACACAAAACCCCCCTGCTCTCAAATCAGCACTTGTGCAGGGAGAATTTTATCACTTCACTTGCCCACTCTAAGAGCTGAGTCCAGAATGCCAAGTTTGTCCATTCATCCCTGAAGCAAAGGTTAACAGGCTGGCTCAGGTGGGTGCAAAGCAGTGAATAACCCACCAGGTAGGAGATAATTTGGCAAAGAGCCCCAGGTGAGCAGCCCACAAGGTGTTATTCAAGAATCAGCAGCTCATTTCCCTTTGCCATCTTAGATGCAATGAAGATTTATAGGCAGGAACAAGGGGGTAGTTTTCCTGCAGCCACCAACCCTCTTGGTCCCTCTAGGGCACAGAAAAGTCTGTGTGGTGTCTGCCACATCTGCTGACAGTAATTCCTAAGGAGACTGGCTGGCTCCATGGGGTTACACTGGGAAGAGGAAGATTAAGAACTAATCAGAGGCTCTATGTGGAAGATTGGAGGTTTCTCACACAGAGGAGGCAGGAGAGCCACAAGGGCCTGAGGTCAGCAGGACTGCCAGGAGCAGGCATGGAGCCCTTATGGCAACTGGAATGTCAGCCACCTGAGAAACAGCACTGTGGCCAAGCTGGGAGGAAATCAGAGGGGAATCCACAGTGAAAAGGATCAGTGAAAGTCAGGTGTCAACTCCGCTTGGCCTTGCCAGAGTGTGAGAGAAAGATGAGAAGTGTTCCTAAGAACTAGAGGCTTCCAGACTTCCTTACTATAACCAACTTCTTTCAGGTCCTGTAGAGAGAACACCCCAACTTCCCTCACCCAGCCAAGAACACGACCTTCCCTAAGCCCTGCACGTGGATATAGGACCAAAACGGGATAACTGAGCAAAGCAACGTTCAGAAGCCCCAGCCAGGATACTGAGTTCTTAACACTCGGTCTCTTTACAGAGTTTCTTTGGCATGTGGTACATCTAAATCAGCAGCTGATCTCACCCTTTATGTCCCTGTGCACAATCATGTTGCTGTGAAGGTACGAGACTCCCTCGAGGATCTGCCGGGTGTATTTCCGGGTGACGTTTTCCGTGAGGGCTCCGTACGCCTTCAGCTGGTCCTTCACTGACCCCTGCACCAACAGCAAACAGAAAACGTTGGCAAAGAAATGACAGACCACAGATCCATTCAATTCCCACAAGCCATGACTGTGTTATACACCCAACCAGCCCAGTAATGAATTCTGGCCTCTTCTAAAGCCTTTCCATGAGGCTCTCTGAGCATCTTGCCCTAAGGAGCCCTTTTAAAGAATGGCAAGGACAGGCTTTATGGTAAAAATAGCTCAAGGAGGTTCTGTCTGCTTCCTCCCTGCTGGTACAACTGGTTGTGAAGACAAGCAATAAAATAGTTCAGCAGACTGATTCAGGTCAGAAGTCTCCCTTTCTGCAGGGTCAGTTTTAGTCTCATTTGCTGTATCATGACTGTAATTCAGTTGTTATGATTTACAAGCTGGTCCAAGTCCTCTGAAGTACTTTGGTAGGACAAATTTAGACTGAACAAAAGAACTGGCTTTAGTGACTAATAAAGAAAATGTATTTCAAGTACAAGACAGTGAAGGAAAAAAAACCCAAAGGGGTTACTTGGACATAAATAAAATTAAAGTGGTGGCATTATAACCCAAGATGAGAAGGGGCAGCCCTAAGAGGGTCTAAGGTGGATGAAACAGTCAGGGGGATCACAGCAACTAATAAACCAACTACCAAACCCACAGATCTCCCTTTGTGATCCATGACTGTGCTGCTTGTGCCAGCTCTTACCCCTGGCATGTACTCCATGAAGATGGTCAAGGTCTTCTCTGCCCGATCCCGTAAGCAGCCGTAATATTGGACAATACGCTCGTGCTGGAGATTCTTCAGCAGCTGAATTTCACACTCCAGGGCACTCACTTCCTATGGATGTTGAAGGAGAAAATAAGGCTGCAGCCCCAGGAAATAGTCCATCCTAATAAATTTGTCATGTCACTGGTAGGATGAAACTACTACTGCACTGAAAAGTCTAATCCATGGCATTGGAAAAGGCAGAGACTACCAGTGCTTCACATGAATCCTCACTGTGTAATCAGCAGGCAAGTCTTGGTGTGGGAGTTTTGATGGAAAAAAGGCAGTATCACATATGGATTTAGTACCAGAAAAACTTTGTTTCTTGTCTTGATTTTCTTCACTCACAACACAGGTATAACCTCACTTCTCACACTGAGCTGAGGGCAGGGAGTGTTAATTATTAAACAGCTCTGACTACAGTTACAGAACTGCCAGGAATCCTCCTCCAGGAATCTCAACTCTTTAGAGAGCAAAACTAGAGGTGCTGAGAGTTCCTAAACTTCTGTCACCCAGTCCTGCCCTGATTCACACTGATGAGTTTACTGGAATCAACCTTACAAAAGGTCTCCTCTCTTAGTTACTTCAAGGAATCTGCAGCTCTGTACATCAAATTGATTCTTTGCTTTGCTCTTGCCACAGACAACAGGGTATCACAGCACAAAGGCCAAGAGGCTCTCCAGCAATTTCAGATGGAATCACAGATGTTTGTTGCCCAGGAAAAGTATCCAGTTCTTGCTGAATCCAGAGAATGAGCAGGAGGTACATCAAATGTACTGAAGCACGAGAATTTATGGAAACAATGGTTTCCCCCAAATTAGTCCCACTTAACTCTCTCCAGCCCTGCCACTGGAAGGTGTCAGGTTCAGCTCTCTCACTCTGGGAGAGGATGTAGCTCCTCAGAGCAAGGACCTGGATGCTGTAGGGACACGTGGAACCACAGGAAGCTGCTTGATCAGGCCAAGTGATAATTTAAGGTTTGGGGTTTCAGTGCCTTCAAGATATTTTCCAGTCTGTTCCTCCTTGGCTCAGAGTTACTGTCTGATTTACAGCAGAGACATGGTAGAACTTAGAACTTCCCAATTTAAGACTTATCTTGGCACCAGTATCCCATATAAAATGAGAATAATTAAACCTTCATGGATCAGTTATTCCAGCTCAAAGTGAACTTGTTCAATATTGGGATACTGGCACATTGTTAAAACACAAGTAAAGAACCCAACAGCCATTCCAGCTGCACCCACTGTGCAGGGAGTTGTGTGCTATCCCAGAACTTCAAGGTGCCCCTTCCCATCTCCACTGTTTCTAATGTGTTGTCACATCCCTCTTCTTGATTCATTTACACACCACAGCTCAATTTGTTTCAAGTGCAGGGAGAATTCAGAAATGAAAACTGGTAATTCACACACTTGATACAGGGTGTACCATGTAAACCCAGAAGTGGGTTTTGCAAGTGCAAGCAGCTTTTTTTGTTCAAAAATGAAAAAAACTCCTACTCTTTCTGGGTTTAGTTTCATTCACATCCATGTCTAACCAGGAACACAGGGCAGTCTAGTATTCCTCAAGTAACCTGGCAACAAACCAGAAAGCTGAGAAGGGAGAGCCAAAAATGAAGCCAGAAAATGGATTTTAGTTTCAGGCTGAAGTTAATAATACAAAAAAGTAATTTTTAAATGGCTCCTATTCTTCTCCACATGACTCGAAACCCTCGTAGGAACTAAATACAAGATGCCAGCTTTTAAGGCCAGACAGATAGAGGCATTTTGCAGGATCTGGCAGGATTTTAGAAGCTGAGATGAGAATTACCTTGCTGGTTTCAGGGCTCTCTGGATCAAACTGGACCTGTTTGGCTGCAAGTTCTCTGCCCGTGTCCACGTCGTAGCACAAGTACACGCGGCCGAAGGCGCCCTGGCCCAGCAGCTTCCCTCGTCGCCAGTTTATTGGAGCACTTGGAGCTAAAAGAGAACAGTAATAATTCCTCATTTCATTATACTGTTTAAAAGCCATGGTTGTCTTTTCAAGGACCCATCTCCATCACACTGGGATTGAACCAGGTGTTTTGCAGCTGAACAAACACGAGGTGCTCTCCCGGCGTAAGGGAGGTAGTGGCAGAGCTCTGACCAGAATCCAACCATCTCAGGACCTGCTGACTGGTGTCCCATTAAAATGAAACCACAAAACATCCTGCAAATATGTACTGCAGAAAATGATGAGGTTGATGAAATTTCATTCTGCCAGCAGGTGGATTCTACAAACCCACTACTTTAAGAGATGGTGTAGCACTTACAGAGCATCTTCCAACCCTTGACCTGGAGTTATCACATGCATCAGGTGAGGAAGAGCTGCATCAGCCCTGCTAAATCAATTCCACCCAGCTGGGAATGACTTAAACTGCTGGGACAACTTGAAGGACATTATTCTGAGGTCTTTGTCAAGGCAGCTCGAGGTTCCTTCTCCTGTGGGAAGGATTTCACTGCAAAGCTCTCTCTACAGCAGAAAAATTAAAGTCATAATTCCCTACTAGACGGTGATAAAGTGGGGGCTGCAAGGTTAGCACAGTCTGTGCACCTTCTTCAGCTGCTCAACAGTCAGATTCCAATGAAAATATACACTAGATCCAGCTAAAGCAGCCACCTCCAACACCCCAGCAGGAGGTTACATCCACAGGGAATTAGGAGTCCTCAAATTCCACAGGCAGGAGTCTCCTGAGCCCTGTTTTCCAGACTGCCCTAAATCCCAAAGCATATCACTCAAAAACCCAGTGCTTCAGCTCCAACTTTGAAAGCAACACTACCAGTCTCCTGCAGTGCAATGCATCCAATTATGTTGTATCTAACAAGAAACTCTAAAAACAAAGACAGGAACCAGCCATCTGGACAGTGTGAAAATGTAGAAGAGCTGAGAGATTAGCTTTGCCATGTCTAATTTAATCAGATTTACTGCCAGTCAGTATATTAGTGTTGCAAGCTTACTCTTCATTTTGATCCCTAAATTACTGTATGGGATATCTGAAGTTCATCAGTAATGATTTATGTTCTATTTCTTTTTTTATAATAGCATGTTGTCCAAAAAACCAACTCAGGGATTCTATTACAACAGAAGTAAATCTTCTTACTTAAGAGTAAGTGAAATATATACAGCCCTCAACTAGTAAAATAACTGTAACCCATAAGCCTGACTACAAATGTTAATGTATCAAGAAAATAAACAAGCCTGTCTGACTGTTTAAGAGCCCTGAAAAGATTCAATGAAGTTTTTTTTTTTTACTTCTTAGCTGAATTTCTGAGGCTTTCTAAAGGAAAAACCAGCTCACAGTGGAGGAAAAAAAGAGAGAAGGAAAAGAAGACGTGTCTTGTAGGTGAGACAAGCTGGCCTCAAAACACAGCCAGGTAACGAGGTGGTTCTAATGGCTGGTTAAAACCAAATGATATGTTGGGTCTGGAGCTCCCAGCTGGGGTCAGGGAGTGCTTACATTTGGTGGGGATGTTCCTCTCCTGCACGCCCAGGGCGTTCTCGCTGTCGGCGCTGCGCAGGCGGCCCCGCGGGTCCAGGTACTGCAGGGCCAGGCCCAGGTTCTCCCCGTTGGTGCTCAAGGAACGACTGGAAGGGACCAAGGTGAAAAGATTCCCTTGGTGACGCCGTATCCTGGGAAACGTCCTCCGGCCTGGGGGGGAACAGTCAGAATTTTAAATCGATGCTTGCAAGGGGAAGGTGATGGAGAAGAAGGGAGAGAAAAACCATGTTCTGCTCAGCAGAAGCGGCTGCCAAACAGACGAGATGCAAAAATATAACAGTTTAGGGCTGGTGCTGCCTGAGTTCGGTACAGCTCTGGATCACTCCCAGAGCAGAAGGCAGAGAACAGTTTGTAATGCCCTCAAGTGCTGTGGTGCAAGATCTAAACTTGCCTTCCAAACCAACAATCTGGTTTACAGGCTACCACACAAGCTCTGAGGCTGGTTAATAATGACTCCCAGAATGACTTTCTAGATAACGTGCCTGGACTTGGAAATAAAAACCATAAACAAAGATTACGGTGACTTGCACCTCATGAAATTTTGAGAGGTTAATTTGCATAAAGCCATGTGAGAGTAAAGATATAAGTCTTTAAGTCGCTGCTATATTTAAAAGACCCAGAAACAAGTCTGCATTGTGAATTAGCAAAGCATAATGAATCCCTGAGGTAGGAACCTGCTATATATGGCCAAGGCTAACAACTCTGTCCACTGCCCAAGCCCAGCAGTCCCTGATCAGCCTGGATATTCCCAGAAAGCACAAAGTAAAGAAAGAATTACAAAGTAAACCAAGAATTACAAACAACCATAGAGTGCTTCCATGAAAACGAGGCATCACACACAGTACCATCAACTCCAGCACTCATTGCAAGGCCCAGGGCACTTCCAGGCTCTTCAGCTGGGAATTACACCCATCTCTAGAGGTTGCCATTGCCTCACCTTGTTTTTCCAGCCTGGATTGGAAGGTCCTAGAACAACTCACCATCGTTGTAGTCCTTGTGCTGCATGGAGACGTTGTAGCGCCGCGGGTAAGTCCCACCTTTCCCTGCTTTGTCGTAGATCTGATTCTCACGGTCTGGAGGGAGATGCAAAGACAGGAGTGAGGCTCCTTCAAAAAGTGTCACTTCTAATGACAAAATTTCCCTGCAGCAGCAGGTTTTTTTAGGAAGAGGTAATAAATAACTTCATAGCTTTTCAGTCAACACATCCCCAGTTGTTCTATTTATACAATGCCAGCAAGCACGGGGAGCAACCTTTGTAGCAGTGACATACCTGAGAACTCCTGTCTATTATCAGGAAAGCTTTGTGCCCTTGACATCCGTGACTTCCGAAAAGAAGGACTACCAAAGAAAGAAGGCAAGAATAAGTTTTGCTGTCCACCAGAGCAAAACCTACATGGGCTTTAAAAATACGAGTGAATACATTTGCAGATTGGAAATGGTGACTCTCAAATCCATGTCCCTGCAATGATTTTATGCTCCATCTGCAAAGCTAAAGCCAGGCTAAGCCCCAGCTAACCAGACTGTTTCCCAGTGTGGGCTGTCAGCTTTTCTGTTCACTTTGAGCCATTTATTCAGTGTTTCCCCAGTCTGTGTTATAAGATTCAGTGACTCTTTCAGACATGGGAAGTGGAAGGCTAAAACCAAGGCTGAGAGGAAGAGCAGAACAGGGCAGCACTTGCAGCACACTGTTTACAGGGCAGTAGAGATTTACCATGAGGGACAAGAGTTCCTCTCATGAAAACTTGGGTGCACTTTCCTCTCTCCAGCAGCACAAGAGCCTGAACACCAACACTGTTTCCAACCCCCGTGTTTCTCCCCAGTAAGCAGTGCTCCTCCAGCAAGCCTAAGTAAGGCCCCAGGCTTGGCACAAGGTCTTTCACACCTCAAGAGATTACACAAACTCAATCTGTGCCCAAGCCATGCTACTGGCACTTGTTTTGTTAACCGGTGTAAATGGCACAGCCTCACAGAGCTTTCAGACTCCCAAACGAGACTCCTTCCCTACTGCACAAACAACAGCTTTCCCAGATGATGCCACTCCAGCAACAAATAACCAGGAAAGCTTTTCATTGCTTCCCCTTCTTCACTTAAGGCAGAGAAAGGGGAGAGGAGGACAGGTAACAAATCAGCAATGTCCCCTCAACAAATGAATCCATGCACACACACAGTTAACTGCAAGTGTTTCCTTGTGACTCCATAAACTGGAGGAAGTGAATGGCTTCAAATCCAAACCTCAAGTGCTTGACATAAATGCACACATTACCTACAGGAATTAGCTTGGAGGAATCCTAAAAACATGCTGAAGCCTGGTATTACAGGTGCTGGGAAGCCACAGTTGCTATTCAAGTTAATAGAACCTCTGGCTGCCCATCAGCACCTCAAGCAACATCAACAGCAAAAAAAGGGAAGAAAAAGACCCAGAGCATCAACCTATGACAAACTCTTCTTCAAAGAAAGAGCCTCCCTATTTACCTCTGGAATTAATTTTGTATCTTGCAGGACATAGCAATCTAGTGCAATGATCTATTTCTGTAACCTTAGAATAGTTTGGGGTATTTTTTGTCATTTTATTTTTTAAGTGAACAAGTAAAGCCTTGTCTAGAAGAGGTTTAAATCCCCTGCAGCCAGATGTTCTCAGAGTGTTGGCTCCACACAGACTGCTCACTTTAGAACTCTGTATTTAAAACATAAAGCCACTGAGGCACCAGTTTTGTTGGTCTATGGTTTTGCCAGAAAATAAAACAGCCTTAAGACACAGTTAATTCTCTTTAAGAAATATATTGGGATATAGGTAGGAAATAAGTTCTTCTTTCTCTCCCAGAAAATTTATGAGATGGAAAACAGACTTTTGCCTGAGTACTACTGGTATTTCAACCTGAGCACACACATTCCTACCAGTTTGTACATTTGTACCTGTCTGCTGACCTGTCCAAGGACTGGCAGCTTCCTGACACCGAGTTTTCAGCACTGCTTAGAGGGTCCAGCATCTGCAACACAGAAGAAATCACAAGGCAACATCAGTGCAGTCCAGTGCTCAGCAGAGGCTCAGAGCAAGAGGATCAGAGCCCACTACTGCTTGTCTGGAGGAAGTCCAGCTGAGGAAGGGAGTCTAAGCCTTTTTAAATGCACATTTTTCCCTTATCTCCCACAGAAATTGAGTTCATATCAAATTTGAGACACTGCTTTAGGTGTTGGAAGGACTCTGCTGTGGAAAATGGAAGTTTCAGTCAGCCTTGTGCTGCATTTTGATCCCAACTGCCTCCAGGAACAGTCTCTGCTGGTGCTGCTGCATTGCTGCCTCCACCTGTGAGTTGCCCTTTGGCCTCACTTCCTACTTTTTTGAATGGAGAGCGGAGTTTTAAAAGCAAGAGGGTCACCCAGACCTGGCACTAGGAAACCTGAGCACACGTGTGACAGCCCCAAAACTGCTCAGTCAGTGGAGAGGCAATGCCCAGCACACACAGCAACTGCTTCTGGCAACCCAAAGGCTTTGAACTCACACAGCTGCAACTGGAAGCAGTTTAAATGCACAAAGCAGCACTTTTAGAATCCCGGAACGGTTTGGGTTGGAAAGGACCTCAGAGATCATCCACTTCCACCCCCTGCCATGGGCAGGGACACCTTGCACTAGACAAGGTTGCTCAGAGCTCCATCCAACCTGGATTTGGATGTTTCCAGGGATGGGGCAGCCACAGCTTTCTGGGCAATTTGTTCCAGTGTCCTCACGGTGCTGATGCAACCACAGCTGGTGAATACTGGGGAGTGAAAAGGAGGGCCCAGATCCCAGCAGAGTTCCTTAACAAGCTGGACATGCTTTTCCCCACCCTCCTGCTCATACTCACACACTGTTCATTGGTTTCTGGGATGAATTCCCCCTCGCTGTTGATGCTGGTGTAGGATCCCTGCCGGGCGATGCGCTGCTGCCTCTCCGGAACGTACCCCGGAGGGGGGGAACTCCTCCCTGTGTTCTGGGAGCCTGGGAGAAGGATATTCCTTAGATTCATGCTGCTGGAATGAGACTGCACGTGCATGTACACAAAATCTAAGTATCTCCTCTAACACCAGGCCTCCACCTCCATGACCACAGTAGCTCTGGAGTGATCACAGAATCATAGAATCAGCTGGGTTGGAAGGGACCTCCGACATCATCAAGTCCAACCCTTGATCCAACCCTGCCGTGGTTCCCAGCCCATGGCACTGATGCCACATCCAGTCTCACCTTAAAAACCTCCAGGGATGGAGAATCCACCACTTCCCTGGGCAGCCCATTCCAATGGCTGATCACCCTCTCTGGAAAGAATTTCTTCCTAATATCCAACCTAAACCTCCCCTGGCACAGCTGAAGACCCCAAAGCCCTCTTGTCTTGCTGATCGTTGCCTGGGAAAAGAGACCAACCCCCACCTGGCTCCCCCCTCCTGTCAGGGAGTTGCAGAGAGTGAGGAGGTCTCCCCTGAGCCTCCTCTTCTCCAGGCTGAACAGCCCCAGCTCCCTCAGCCTCTCCCTCCCTCCCTCCCTGCTCCAGTCCCTTCCCCAGCCTTGTTGCTCTCCTCTGGACCTGCTCCAGCCCCTCAATGTCCTTCCTGAACTGAGGGGCCCAGAACTGGACACAGCACTCCAGGGGTGGCCTCACCAGCACTGAGTACAAGGGAAGAATCACTTCCCTGGACCTGTTGGCCACACTGTTCCTGAGCCAGGCCAGGATCCATTGGCCTTTTTGGCCACCTGGGCACACTCTGGCTCATGTTCAGCTTTCAGATCCTGACAGGCTGGACAGACGTGGGACCAGGAGGGGTCATGTCAAAAACCAAACTGTTTGATGAGCAGCTGTACTGACATTTTAGACACCACATGATTACTGGTGAAGCTCCTAACACAGCTTCTGCTCTTCCTAACCTCTTCTGCTTGACTTTCTGAGTGTAATTTCAGTACCTCAGGGAAGGCAGAGGATTCCAGGAATCCCTGGCTTTTGAGCATGAACTTCATTGCCAATCTCCCCTAAACAAAGCACTTGTCAGGGTAACCAATCTTCTGTCTTTATTCTAAGTTTGCATCAGTTAGTACAATTTATCCTGAGTGACAGCACATTCCTGCTAGTCAGCATCAGCTCAGCAAGTTATAGTGTCACTGAGCAATTCCAGTGTCACATGGGAGCACTGTTACCTTTGGAAATAACCCCAAAATTTCTGGTTTACTGCGTGAAAAATCAAACTGTGTGGTCAGTTTGGGCAAAACCACATGGAGGTTAACTCTGCAATTCCTGTTAATTGGATAACTGGATGGACAGAGAGTGTGTTTAGGGGCCAAAGGATGAGAAAAATAGTTTAATCATCTATTAACGCCACTTCCTAAAGTGTTTCCATTGTGCTACCTACTGAGAGAAACTTCAGCCTTAGGATTTATTTTTTCCTTGCAGATCTCAAAGAAGATGAAACTTTAGACACAGGAAGAAACAAACCCCTTTTTGCAGTGACTTATCCACCTGTAGCTCCCACTGTGAGCTCCTAGAACTGCTGTGGTCCAGTCAATCTACTTGAGGTCACCCATGAAGTCAGGAAGAGCAGCTGAGGATCAGCTCCCAAGCTGTGCTTTTTACAACACTGTCTTTAATTAACTGTGTGTACTCAGGTGCTGTGAAAGATGGGTAAAGATCAGCAAATATTCTCCCAAGGAAAATATTTTCTACTGGAGTTGTTGTAAAAAAGAGTGAAGGCGAACGCTGGCAGAAGAGAACTGGAAAGCAGAGCACACACTTTTTAGAGGGCTGAAAAGCAGAGAATACACCTTTGAGAAGGCTGAAAAGCAGAGAACACACCACTGAGAGGGCTGAAAAGCAGAGAAAACAATTTTGAGAGGGCTGAAAAGCAGAGAACACACCTTTGAAAGGGATGAAAAGCAGAGAACACCTTTGAGAGGGCTGAAAAGCAGAGAACGCATTTGAAAGGGCTGAAAAGCAGAGAACGCAATTTTGAGAGGGCTGAAAAGCAACACACACCTTTGAGAGGGCTGAAAAGCAGAGAACACCTTTGAGAGGACTGCACAAAGAAAAACAATGCTGGCATGACTTAGGAGTGCATGGGGGGTGAACCACGTGAAAAAAGGGATTAACAGAATCGTAGAACCATTAAGGTTGGAGAAGACCTCCGAGGCCACGTCCAAGATCACCGTCCACAACCTGCTGCTCAGAGCTGCCACCCCATTCTCCCAGCAGCTCCACGGGGCTCCCGTGAGGTTCAGAGCCCAGTGGTGTGGAGACAAACCCTGGAGCTGCCGTGGGGCTGCCCCGAGGCCCGGGAGCACTTTCACTCCTTCCGACACAATCCAGGGCTGGCCCAGAGCGAGCCCAGGCCCTGCTGGCACCGGCCCAGCCGCTGTTGTGGAAAGGCCCCCAGCCCTGGGCAGGAAAAGGAAGTCGGCACTAAATCCATGTATATCAAAGGAAGTGAGTGGAAAAAACACAAGTGCTGCCAGAATGCTTAGCAACTTTTTTTTTTTCCCCCCTCCTCTTTTAAATAAAAGTTATCTTTACTTCCAAACCTCTGAACTGGTGACAGCAGGCTCGAGGCCCGTCCACTCTGGAGGACAGGAACTACATGGATCTCTGCAAAAAGCTTTTGTTGAGCACTGCTTTGGACTTTCATTGCACCACGTGGTGAGATTAGGAGAGTTTCTATCCCTCAAACACCAGGAAACAGAGCCCATTCCTTTCCCAAATCAAAGATGGGGAAAGAGAAGTAAGAAGAAATCGATGCAAGACTGAGCTATTGCCAAATTCCCAGCAGACCTCTGACAGAACTGGAACTCTTCATAAGGAACAGTCTGGTACTTTGACATGTTCAGAAAACAAAACTAATGGTTTCTTGAGTGATGAATGACAGAGAGCATCCACAAGCTGGGATGAGAGGAGAGAGTCTGTACAACCGGGACACAGAAGGGGCCCCTTGTTACTACACAGTTTACCCATGACAGACACTCACTGGAGTCTGTTGGCTTTGGCACCATTATCAGGATACCTCAGAATGCCAATAAAGGAGAAACATAGATATATTAAATATTTTTGGCATTGAAACTGTCTGTGAAAAAAGAAACGTGGTGTTCAGACGTGCATGGACATCACTGCCTTCTTCACAGGACCAAGGAACGTTGCTCTTTTTTATGCACATTAACTGCAAACTAGGAAGGATGGGAAAACTCTTTTTGTCCTCATTTCAGTCACGTACTTCACAAGCTTTCAGCACTTCTTTGTTTGCTTGCTGCTTCAGAAAAGCAAACTGTACAAAAGGGGATCAGCAGACTCCTGACAGGACACAGGCAGGTTTGTTAGACAAGTTGCACACTGAGAGCTACTGGTTTAGTTCTCAAGTCCTTCCCTCTGAGCTCACTCTCCCAGTCACCTCTGGTCACAACAGAGTGGATCTGACTCTGGTTTAAACCCCCCAACATGGAGACTGTTCTAGTTTAATCATATTTATTATTTTACACTTACATTGCATTGCGAATACTGATCTAAAACCCTGTAATAATTATGGCTAAAGTTTACAGAGTTAATAAAATTGAAGCAGTCCTTTGCCACGGAGAAGAACTTGCAAATAAGACAAGTCTGCCATTCCCAGCTCCTGATACTCCCATTGTGACTTGCATCACCTGTCCTCTGAAGCATTAGATATGACAAGCCCCAAAACAGCTGTTGGAACAAACAGAATCATCCTCTGCTTCTCTTTCCAGCAAAATTTACCTTTTCTCACTTGTAAAGCAGCAGCAATTTACACAGAACACCATCTTCATGCTCCCTCACCTTCCTCCTGCTCTTTCACTGCTCAATGGCCTTCATACCAAGGAGTTAAATCCTAAATCACAGACTTTTTTTTTTTGGACCCCTGTATCTTTGAAGCTGTTTCAGATGTTTTAGTTTTTGATATAAAAAGTTAACAGTTTAGAGCATCCTTCAAGCACAGGTTTGAATAGTGCTGCACAGTTACAAAGAGGGTTTTAACACAGAAATTGGGAGGAATCAGACAAATCTACCAGAGATAGAAGTAAAAATTACAGGAGTCTTACATGGACCTTTCCACTAAACAGCAGTTCACTCAGCTAAGAGAAACCCAAGGGAAATGAGACAAAGGTACATAATACTCTGACTTTTCTTACTATCTTTTGTGTACCTCTGCTATTCACCTTGTGCTCTACTCATCTGGGAATTCCAGGAGTGAAAGGTTAGGGAACTCAGTATGTAGGACACTGGTTGGATATGCAGTAGTAATTCCCTGATTCCAAGTAAAATGCTTGATTACAGGAGCCAGGAGAGATTCCAAAGCCCAACATAAAACCCCCTCATATCTAGGTTTCACGAACTGAAATTGCCAATGTAAATAAAAACCTTCATGGACTCACATCAGCTTTCCAAATTTCTAACCACAATGGATCTGGCTTTAGGACACCCCCTTTAGCAGCTCCTCAGCTGTTCAACAACTTAGTAAGGAACTGAAACATTCTACTGTAAACATATGAAGAGCTTTTGAAAATGAACTGCCCTGTCCTAGAATAACCTTTCGATTTCTCCCAGCTCTCATAAATGCCACACCATAAACATTAGTGCCCAAATGACACATTTCACCAAACAAAACCGTGCAGAAGTGGCAAAAATACTCACTGACAGACAGATGCCTACTTCTGGGTTCTGGCTGCTGGTAGGGTGTGCTCACATCCCCCACAGACTGGGAAGTTTTAATCCTGACTTGTTTGGGCAGTCCAGAATGGGGTGAAGAACTGGTCTGTTGGGTAAAATGAAAAGAATAAAATAAAATGAGACTGAGGAGCTCAAGCAGCCTGGCCACAGTCCCAAAAATATCATTATGTTCAGTAGCAAGAAAGAAGCTGAGCAATAGTTCTAGAGCCTGAAATCTTATTAACTTCAGAACACACAAAGGCAGTAAAAGAGCAAGGTTTATAATTCTGGTGTAACAGAGGAGTCCAACAACTAGAGCAAGGCACTGTCCAGCCTCAAGGGCAGGATTTGAAAGTCTCAGTGTCTGCCTGCCATTAACAGGTACCTGTGGGACACACAGAGGGCTCATATCACCCCCAGACACCAGAACACAGAAGAACCTACAATTTCCACCAGCCATCTTCGCCAGCAGAGAGAAATTCTGAATCTTGCACTCTTTCAGAAGCAACCTGACTCCACACAACCTTCACCATTCAGACCATCTAAGTGATAATAAATTCGGGAGACTTAAGAAAACCAAGAGTTTGGAGATGCTAAGATGAATTTATTCATTTTCCCATGAAATTCTATAGATACTATCTAATTAATGATCATTTTTCCACAGTGCCTTCACCTCATTCAAAGCAGGAAGAGGAATGAGATACGTCAAACCTCCCCCAGCCAAGGAGATCCTGTGTCAAAGCAGGGGCTCAATACCTGGAGACACTTTCAATTTTAATCTTGACCCAACACGCCTAGTTTTACAAGAGGATATAATATTCCCTTCCTCTTGTGTTCCAGAATTCATCTTCCCTTATTTAATTGAGATGAACAGAACCAGAGACACCCCGAGGAAATTAATTCTGGCCTGTGAAAATTATTTGAACATGACTTGGTCAAACAAGGTGTGAAGTCATACAAGCCAAAATTAAAATACTGAATAGCTGCTCATTTAATAAGGACATCCACCTGCATGGAGCAAGGATTTAAATCACATAAACTCCACCATGAATAGGTTCATGGGAGCTGAATAAAGGGTGCAGAGGTCACCCCACTGATGTGGACAGTCTGGCTTTAGGTGTTAAATTTTTCCAGTTTTCCCCATTAGATTCTAAACAGAAGGAAAGGACTGACAACAGGAATGAGCTGCTTGATGAAAAAAAGCACAAATGAGCCACAGAAAGAGGCACAAGAAAATTAATCTGCACACTGTTCACAGACAGCACAGCTCTTGGTACCAGTGACACAGCTACTGCTGCAAAGTTAATTTGCTTTCTGGACCTATTTGTGCCAAAGTCACGGCGTTACCTTTCCATCCCCAGAAAAAGAAAAGAGCACAACCAAAACAAAATCTGCATCCTGTACTTCAGGAAAAATAATGCTTCCCGCTCCCTCAGTGGGATGAGATCATGCAGCCAAGAAACCTCCTCCAGCCTTGTGGGCTCTATCCCACGTAGGGCTCTCCTGTCAGGGAACTCTGAGCTGCAGAGGAAGTCGGAGGAGAGGGGGGGGGAAACAGTGGCACTTACTGAAAGCTTTGCTTTTTGTTTCTGCTTTGAGCAAAAGAGGAAAAAACAGCTAATAAAAGGACACCACCACAGGAGTGGCTGCTGGCTGGTGTAGGATGGGATTTACTAAGTGGGTTATGCAAAGGTAGGTGGTATCATTTAACAGCTGGTTTGCAGCCTCGAGGCACTGACAGAGGGCTGGAAAAGAGGATTGTTTGACTGTGTTATACCAAAAGCTGAAGTCACCTTTTACAGGCTGTTTCCTGACACCACAGAACGAAGTCTGACTCCACCAGGTCAGATCAAAGGCCTTCTTGCCAAGTATTGTCTTCAGAACAGGCAGCAATAAATGCTCAGGGAAAGGGCACAGGACAAGGAACAGCATCATCCCCTCCTACACCTTCCCAGCTTTTGGCACCCAGTCCTTTGGGAAAGGGCTGTTAACACTCCTGAAGGTCTCTGGATTTCCATTAACACGGATTATCAAATTAAAAAATAGTGGGAAGTGTATTTAAGTCCTCCTGACAGTTCCAAGAATTATAGGTGTGATTATTTCAAGTTTGAGCTCCCTGCAGAACTTGAATAGGGATGAACATCTGAGATCGACAAGCTGTTCCCAACAGAGCAGCTTTTTGTGTCACACTCTTCAGAGAATTTGGTAATTTGCAAATCAAATATCTAAGCTATCAAGGTTTTTGGCTTGAAAAGCTGCATGACCTTAATTCTGAAAAAGAAAAAAAAGAGATATTGGATGAGGGAACCGTTTTCCAGTCCCAGATCAGGAACAAGGAAAACTTCAGATTCTTTTTGCACTCCTCATCTTGCAGATAAATTCACTGTCCAAAATGGGCATCTTTGGGAGCTTGGTTTAAAGATTTACTTCTCATGATATAATCTTTCCTGCTGACATTCACTGCCACAGCCACCTGTGGTACAGGAGAGTGAACCAAGACAATCAAACTCATCTTGGGTGTGAATACATCATTATTAGCTGAAGGCAACTTAGTTTCCATAGAGTAAGGCTGGATTTAAGGCCTTAGGCTGCAGAGCTGAAAAATCCCTGGGAGCTGTCCCCAGGCTTCTCACCCAGGGAAGAAGTGTTAAAGGCTTGTCTTCAAGGACAACCTGTGCCCTGAAAGGCAAAGTAATTACACACACTTTCAACACTGTGCTCTTAATCAAAGGTAAAAGATTTCTCTGCAAACCAAACTCTTTCAGTGTTGTCTGACTACAGGTACTTGCTATAAAATGGCTTTCATGTAACAGCTTAAAAAGCTGCAATGTTTTAGTCCCTGAACAGCTGCTGAAGTCAGGAAGGAGAAAACCAACAAAAAGATACCTATAATAGCTGAGCCAAAGTAAAGAGGATAAACACATGCATTTGTGTCTGTGAAGAGTGATTTTACTAATCCCTGTTACTGCCATGGTGTTTCAGAGAGTTAAGGGTAAAAACCTTCATTTTGCTGCAGTCACAGAGGTTGGTACCTACATGGTTTCTGTCCTGGGACAGCAATAATATTCTAAGGCTTTTCACATTAGAGCTTCGGTCTAAGAGATCTACAGCTTTATCCAGGTCATCTTGGTTTTTCAGAGGGATAGAGAGCTGCAAAATAAACAACAAGAGAAAATCATTAGAAAAGACAGAAAAAATAAGTCTATTTCCACAACAGGTGTTTCAACAAACAGAAAAATACCAGAATGTAAGACAGGACTCTGACTGCTCACAAATTTTCATTCCAATACTGTCTCATTTTTTAATGAGGTTTTCCTCCCATGCCAGAGAAATGGCTGACCCTGTGCAAATCTCTCTAAAGCACCAGCCACAAAAATATTAATTGCTACCTGAATTTGCTGTTTGCAAAGAACAAGTCAGGGACTTGTCAGCCCCTGACTCCCTGAGGAGAATGTGGTCTCAGCACTTATGAATTCAGACCTACTGATCAAGTGAAAATTGGGTTTCAGAGAGAAAGAAGAAGATAAAAGACTTTGAAAGAGGGAATCAAATTAGAATTTAAAACTTGCTAATAAGACCCCGTGAAATCAGGCTCAGACACCCTCTATGCTACAGCCCACTCACATCTCAAAATGGGAATGTTATTAACCCTGGAGAACTCTCATTTTTGTCCCACTCTCACTGCTGAATGGGGGTCTGGATCTCCCTCATTAGGGATGCAGTTCCAAACAGTGGGAGGGCGACACCACAACAATAAAAACAAGGAAAAACCAGCGTGTCCAGGGTGAGAAAGCCACTAAAATACTTTAGATTATTAACATGGACTACCCAGTTCCTGAGAGACAAATGCTGTTCCCCATGTCACTTTATTTCACTGCTGACAGTGCCCACAGTCCCCCTAAAGCCTCCTCTGTTCTTGGACTCCCCTTGTTCCCTGGGCAACAAGATCTCCCTGGATATATATCAGCCTGCAATTGTTGCTTTCAACAATAAAATACTTCAAATACCTTTTTTACTTCCCCAAGAGAGTCTCCCAACCACTGCCAGTGCAAGGGAGCAAGATGCTGCTGTTTGCACAACACACACAGCATTGTGAGGCTTTATCGGGATCAGTGTGTTTTCCTTTGGATCAGGGATTCAACAGTGCTTTGCATTAAAGGAAGGACTGAAAATTAAATTTACAGGCACAGGATTTGTGAGGGGGAGATGTGATGCAGAGAGGGTTTGCCATGCCCTGAGCACTGGGAGCTCTGTACCTCGTTGTTCATGTAGTGGAGGTCCAGGGGCTGCCCAAAGGCTGTTTTCACTTTCTGCTGCACGTCTTCGTAGCGCACGGGACGGACAAACGGGATAATCCTGGAATGAGAGAGAACCCCTGGCTGAAATCAGAAATACACTTGATAATGCAATCACGATAATGCAGGAAGCTGAACATGAGTCAGAGTGTGCCCAGGTGGCCAAGAAGGCCAATGGATCCTGGCCTGGCTCAGGAACAGTGTGGCCAACAGGTCCAAGGAAGTGATTCTTCCCCTGGACTCAGCACTGGTGAGGCCACCCCTGGAGTGCTGTGTCCAGCTCTGGGCCCCTCAGTTCAGGAAGGACATTGAGGGGCTGGAGCAGGTCCAGAGAAGAGCAACGAGGCTGGGGAAGGGACTGGAGCACAAGTGCTATGAGGAGAGGCTGAGGGAGCTGGGGCTGTTCAGCCTGGAGAAGAGGAGGCTCAGGGGAGACCTCCTCACTCTCTGCAACTCCCTGACAGGAGGGGGGAGCCAGGTGGGGGTTGGTCTCTTTTCCCAGGCAACTCTCAGCAAGACAAGAGGGCTCAGGGTCTTCAGCTGTGCCAGGGGAGGTTTAGGTCGGATATTAGGAAGAATTTCTTTCCAGAGAGGGTGATCAGCCATTGGAATGGGCTGCCCAGGGAAGGGGTGGATTCTCCATCCCTGGAGGTGTTTAAGGTGAGACTGGATGTGGCATCAGTGCCATGGGCTGGGAACCACAGCGGGGTTGGATCAAGGGTTGGACTTGATGATCTCAGAGGTCCCTTCCAACCCAGCTGATTCTATGATTCTGTGATTCAAACCAGGTGGCTGAACCATTAAAAACACATTTGAATGCTCTCATTTCATCCTCAAGCAGGTAGTGAGCCTTTCAAATTTAAATTTACACGCGTTGTTTCAGTAAGGAATTATTGATCTCTGGCCCACTTCCAATGGTTTGTCAAAATGCAATATTCAGCTGAAGATTTCAAATAGAATCTCTTTGTCCCTGGGCAGAGAAATAGAATCCCTTTGTCCCTTTGCTGAATCAGTGGCTTTCACAAAACAGGATACAAATATCCCGTGCACCTTGGCTCAAAAAATACTGCCTTGGGCACAAAACACACTCAGGGAGAGCTGAATTAAAAGCTGCAGAGGCCAAAAGAATAAAAAATTTAAGTATCTGAGTACCTGAACTCAAAATTCACTCCCTAATAATCTCCAAAATGCATTTCATATTAAAAGTTTCAACAAACATTCCCACAGCAAAGTTAGTCCTGAACTCCTGAGGGAAGACAACAGCAGGTGGACACAAAGGAACCTGAAAACCCTCCTTCCCAAAGGTGGTCTGTGCCCTGAGCTCCATGTCTGCCTCCTGCATGCTCAGGTCAGACATCTCCAAACATCTGAATCATGGACTCACTGCACTGGCTTTCCAGTTTTCCATCAAATCATGGAATGGTTTGGGTTGGAAGAAACCTTAAAGATCATCTTGTTCCAAACCTGTGCAACACAGCAGGGTTTTTTCTCCAGAGCTGAGGCCAAATCTAACTGTGCAAATGTTTGTCACACATGGCTTGCTTTATTTAAAAAAAATTGCTTTATTTTTTAATTAAAGAGGCCCAAATAGAACAAAACTTAAATATGGCTTCAGCTGTAATAGCAGTGTCACAGCTGACTGCAACAATTGAGAATATTTTTATAAGTCAGAAGATTCACATTACACTGATCAGTCTCACACTCTCCTGCTTCCTCCCTCCTATTTTTTTATCTTCAGGCACCTTCACCAACTGACACACAAAATCTGCACAGATTTAAATTATTCCACACGAAACCTGCACAAATGTAAATTATTCTGATCACTGTCCCTGGGCCCAGACCTTGTGACACACTAAACCCCAGCTCAAGCACTCAGCCATTCCCTCCCCAGGTGAATGGCAGGAGTTTTACACTCACAGACAACCACAGCCTCCAGGAATGCAAAATGTTACCCTGTGGAATCCTGTGGCACATAAAGGCTTTTCAGAAAATGACAGGACACTTTGGTTTGGTTTTATTACTGTTTTGCCTGCCTTGGAATAGCAACTCTCAATGGTTGAGGCAGAGCAACAATATGAACTTCCAGGAAAGCATCTAAAACTCTTTATTTTGCTGGAATGTTCTGCTGTAGGAAGTTACCAAGTACTCACGAAGTCTACCTTGACAGCCATGGAAAAGGATGATTTTCACCCTCTTCAGAATAACCTGGAGGATTCAAATGCAAACTATAGTTTACACCTGCTGTTCTAAACAAACCAGGGCTGCCCAGAGCAGTGGTGGAATCACCATCTCTGGAAGTGTTCAAAAAACATGTGGATGTGGCATTGGAGGATTTGTTTTAGTGGTGAACATGATGGTGATGCTGGGTTGGACTTGAGGACCTTAAAGGCCTTTTCCAACCTGCACAATCCTGTGATTCTGTGCCACCTCCTGCTCAGAAAGCCACTCTTCACCTCTTTGCTCAGACTTCTCACCTTCTGCTTCCATGAGACCTCACTGTGTCTACACTACAAGTCCAGCCCTTCAGGGGCAGACAGGCACAGGATAAGGGGAATGGATTAACACTGCCAGAGGGCAGGGTTAGATGGGATATTGGGAAGAAATCCTTCCCTGGGAGGGTGGGGAGGCCCTGGCACAGGTTGCCCAGAGAAGCTGTGGCTGCCCCTGGATCCCTGGAAGTGTCCAAGATCAGGTTGCAGCAACCTGGGCTAGTGAGTGGCATCCCCAAACGTGGCAGGGAGGGTGGAACGAGATGATCCTTATGGTCCCTTCCAACCCAAACCATCCTGGGTTCAAACCATCACTATAATTCTGTGATGAACCTGTGCTTTGGATAAAAGGCTTAACTTCCCATTTATCCATCCATCCATCCATCTTCATCAGCCCTGGGTATCCTTTCACGAGATGCAGCTTTTGTTTTAAACAGCCCTTGTGTTAGTTGGCTTCCTCAGCCCCTTCCCAGGAAAGGTTCATCTTGCTACCAGTCCTACAACATCCAGCTCTTTGGAAATAATTGTGCTTGTTAAAAAGCAGCCCACAATAACATTTTCTACATATTCCTAAGAAACCCATCCACGAAATTACAGTACTCTGGCACCACACAAATGTAATTTAGCTCTCAGTGCCTTATAAAGGCTCCCATTCTACACTCGACGCATTCAAAAGCAGAGCTGTTCTCAGGTGCCACAAATTCTATTAGTTTAAAAACTCTGTGCACTCCTCTAACACAAAATCCTGGACTGCAGGGTTTGAGGAGCCCATTCCTGCCTGACCACCTTAAATATTTGTGGTTAGATCTGGCAGCTGCTGTGAAGCCAAGCACACACACTCACATTCTGGTGCAGGCTCCCTGTCTGTAACTGCACACCGCGCTGGGAGCGGGGAATTCGGCTCAGTGAAACTGCATAATTAGACTAACACACAATCAACCTTTTCATTTTAATGTTACTTCAGAAAAAAAACCTCCTTTCTCCCCCCCTCCCCGAGCTTGGTGCCACCTGAAATGCACCCGGGCTGAAGACAGGCAAGATGAGAAGCTCGTGGGGACACATTTTGCTGTTGAGTTCCCTGGTCCTGGCAGGGTGTGACAAGGAATTGTGACATGGCACCCCCTGCCTCTGTTTTGTCCACACAAACCCCTGACACAGGAAGAAGATATGGCTGACAAAGGAGGCAGCAGATCCCAGTGATGATCACTTCTAAAATTTCTCCCCAAGCACCCAAAGTCAGGGTTGTTTTAGGGACAGAATTCATCGTGTAGGATTTTAGTGAAAGCAACAGTTTAAGTTTTGAGGAAGATCACAAATTGTTCTCCACTGCCTGCTCTGCCAACAAAGAAATGCTTCTGCTTTCCTGATAAAAATCCCCAAATTTGACAAAGGAGGATACTTGAGGAGGAGCTTCAGCACCTCAGCCATAACCTTTGCTAGGACCAGGTATGAGGATCCCTACAGACAACTTGTGCTGTTCTACCACCAACATTAAATTTGCATTTTATCATGAAACCATGAACTACTTCATGTTGGAAGTAAATGGGAGAAACCAAAGGATTCCCATAGGATGGCTGTGAGGAGTAGCACATACATTCCTGCTTACAATCCAATTAATTTCCTCCAAAATAAGGGAACTGTAACCCATCATTAAGATCACTTTTTGCCCTCAGTGAGGGCAGACTCAAAGAGACCACAGACAAGCTTGGAGCCTTCCTGTATGTCCACACACCACCACACAGCCATTAAATGTTTTGAGAGTTCCTCTCAATGCTATGGCAAGTAAGAGGCTTTTTGAGACCTACTTTTAATTATCCAGGCGATTTTATCCATTGCAAACAATGCTGTAAAAACTGAAGCTGCTATTTCAGTTGTTTCTGGGTTTTTCTTGTAAAAGAATGTCTCTCAAGAAAGGAAATAACAAAGAAACTTTTACACCAATGAAAAAAAATCTTCCCTTGCTGTATCTGTTGCTCAATCACAGCAGGACAGTGATAGCAACAGGGCATCAGGAAGTGAGAAACTAGAAAAGAATGACACTGATTTGATCAGCTTCATTTGGTTTTAGTTAAATAAAACAAAATGGGAACATGTATGAAGTGAAACCTTCAGGCTGAATTTATTTAAGGCTGGACAGCTTTTTAATATTGCTGCAATTCACTTGCAAATAGATATTATGGAAATAAATCACTGTTTTATGACACGCTGATCTCTAAAAATAACCAAGTTGTGTGTGACCTGTTTGTTATGGCCTTCCCTGTGTGATTTTCGTTCAGGAAAAAGAAAAGTGAAGCCAACAAAATATTTAGCCTAAATTACTGATGACTGAACTATTCTCGTAAGCAAAGAACCAAAGCAGTGAAGGCCAACTTACCGTCGCTCCCCGTTATGTTCAAACTTTATCCTGACATCATTCTGCAGGAGAAAGAACAAAAGGTGAGTTCACAATCAAATTCTGCCACACAAATGCATCACAACAGCATTTTAATATGATTTTAAGTTTCTTCATGGAAGCTAAGGTAGACTGTGGAAACAAGTGGCTGATATGTTTTTCAGGGAAACTGCCGAAGGAGAAAGGGAAGGAAAGGGGTAAAAACTACGTTGTAATTTTTGTTAACTGTCACTGAAACAGAGGACACTTTATGGAAAATTAAAATACCTTTAACACTGCATGGTAAAAATCTGAAATTGAGTCCTAACCACTTACTCATCTCAACTGAAGGTAATTTTCTTTGAGCACTCATAGCAAAGATGGGAGAGAAGAGAGATACAGAGAATGTATACATTCTCTATTCTTATTCCTTCCTTTTAGTCTTATTGTTTATTCTTATTCTTATTTCTATTTATTATTCTTATTTGTTATTCCTCTGTGTTATTCTTCATTCTTAAGACATGGACTAAATCTCTGCTTTTGCAAAAATGCAGCCCCTGAAACTCCAACTAAGTCACAAACAGGCTGATTCTGTGTCACCTCCTAAAGCTCCTCACCTGTAACTGGATGGTTCAAAGCACAACCACACAACCTGTGCAATCACTGCACACTCAGAAGATGCTCTGTGGCACAGAAGAGTCAACATGCTGAACTTTCAACTCTGGACATCAAAGTTCAAATCCCAATTTAGGTCAGAAAGACAAAAATAAAAGGGAAAAATCTGCTCTGATAAGACTCCATAATTTCTGCTGCACAATTTATGTGATTGGAATAGATTAAGCCATCTGTGAAAGCCTCAGACAATAGGCAATCATACATCTAGGAACTTCAAAAAAACGTGGCCAGGAAATGCTCTTTAGCTGGAGGAAGTTTCTGGCAGGCCCAGTGGTCAAGAATTCAGTTCAAAGGGATGGGATTCCTGCAGCATGGATCAGGGAAAACGAGCTCCCCAATCCCAGCAACGACCCCCTGCAGGTGGGTAACTCACATGTAACTTTAAAAGACAATTTTTATAGATGTGGGAAGAGAAAGAACTTACTCTAGAATGACTCCAAAATGAAACAAACTCATCTGAACTGAGCAGTAAAGGAAAAATGCAGCAAACAGCACAGGAATATTATCCTTTAAAAGATGCCCACCAGCCAACTCCTGATGAAACAGTTGTTCTTTTACATATTGGATGGAGGAATGATCCCTTTGTATCAGGATTTTCAAAGAAGTTTGTTTCTTAGACATACTGGATGGAGGAATGATCCCTTTACATCAGGGTTTCAGGGGAGTAAGGCTGTAGATAAGTTTTTTTTTTAATGTTAGACTATTCTAAATAGCCCAGTCTAAGGGAACTAAACAGGACTGTTTGGATGAAATGGAATTCAAGTCATTTTTCAGATTAAATTTCTGACCTCAAGATGTGGTTTAGGTCCTGGAACAGCCAAGTAACACAGCTCTCATTAATTAAAATTAGACAACACTAAAAAGATTTTCAGGGCTCTTTGGAGACCTTTCTTTAACTTGCTGGTACCTAAGCAAGCCAAAATCACTTTCTCAACTCCACAGCACACTTTAGAACCTGTAATTTGGAAGCAAGGGAAGGGGGATGGAATTTGGCATTTATCTCTTGCTGATTTTTCCATAAGGATCAGACACTGGTCATTCATGTCTATATTTTAAAGATCTAAGAAAAGGTGTTCAAAGTGATCTCAGTGTTCACATTCCAGAGAGAAACTCGAGGAGTTAAGCTTTCCAGTGCTTTCAGTTTCTCTTGAATTCAGTGAGCCCATCAATTTTTAAAGCAAGTCATATAAACTCTCCTAAGAGATGAGTAAAAAGGCAAATCCAAGTTTAGTACCTCAGCGTTCCAGTTCTGCAACACTGTCTCATAAATCATGATTACAGGTTTTGATTTAAGACATCCCTGAATTTATGTTCAAAGCGATCTTGGGGAGGATTTTGTTCTGCTCCATCTACAGATTTGTCCAGCACATTCTAGGAAATCCCAGATCCAGCTGAACAAGTAGATTACGAGCAGGCAAAGTGTAAGGAAGACAGACATGAACTTTAAAGCCTGCTCCAAAAGGCTTAAGCCTGTAACAGGAATCAAACTGAAAAGAGTTATTTTACTGACACAGGCAACTTCTCCTGTTAATGTCAGTCTTACTGCCAGCAACTTGATCTAACTTTGTAAGACAGTAAGGGACAAACAATTCTTGGCTGAAATTGCTGCTTTTGCTTTGAAGTATTTCATTTAAATGACATCCAGCATCTACTGACAGAGTAAAGAGTGATTTATTCTGTCCTTCCTTTTGACCAGAAAGCCAATACCAGAGTTTTCTTCATGAAAAAGTCTGTAACAATGTGGAACAAACCTGGGGTGCTGCCTCCATCACTTACAGACTGCTTTGGGTGGGAAGGACCTTAAAGCCCATCCAGTGCCACCCCCTGCCATGGGCAGGGACACCTTCCCAGGTTGCTCCAAGCCCCGTCCAACCTGGCCCTGGACACTTCCAGGGATCCAGGGGCAGCCACAGCTTCTCTGGGCAACCTGGGCCAGGGCCTCCCCACCCTCCCAGGGAAGGATTCCTTCCCAATATCCCATCTAACCCTGCCCTTTTTCAGTTTAAAGCCATTCCCTTTGTCCTGTCACTACACTAAAACATGCACCCCCTGTAACATCAAGACAGAGCCAGGAAAGAAAAGCTTTTCCAGCCTCCCACACCTGCTTAAAGGAATTCTATAAAGGTCACTGCACACAATGGTAAAACCTACACATAATTTATAATTGCTGATATAGAAATTAAGCCAATTTTCTCACCGGAATTTTTTTTTCTTCCACTGCAGAGGCACACTGGTTCGTTATTGCAGGGCTGCCCAGGAGGGGGGGACTGCTGGCATTGTGTTTTTTCTTTAAAAGGAATAAAATCATTTTTAAAAAATGGCAAGTTAAAAACTTTTACACTTGGTAATTTTTTTTAGCTGATCAGACCAAGCAACATCACAAACACATGTGGGGGGAAGGCAGGATACTAAGATGATGTAAATTATCAAATACATACATATATACATACATATATATATATATAAATACATAACTTGAAATATATATCCTTATATATTGTTTTTAATTTTATATAGATAAACCAATATAAAATATATACTATTTTAATATCATTTATACATTATGTAAAATTGTATTTATTCTAGTATATATTTTGATTGTAATATTAATTAATATAATATTATAAATTAATTAGTAATATTATTGTATTTCTATTACATTAGAAAATTATTTATATATAATACATAGAATATATACTATATTTAATATAGTAGATATATATTTTATTTAATATATAAATTAATATACAACTATATTTAATATATAAATATAATATATAATAGTATATAATAATATATTGTATATATAATAACTATATTTAATAAATTAACATATAAAATATAGTATATCTACTATATTTAATATAGTAGATATATATTTTATACATTTTATATATATCAGTATACATTATAATAATTATAATATATATTAACATACATTATTAATACATATTATATATTCTATTTTAATATATATAAGAAAATAAAAATGTTCCATATTTGCCACACAGCCTGAGCAGGATGAAGGAGTTAATCCTGTCAGAAGCACAGGCAGCAGATCCTCTGTCCCTTCTACCCCAGGCCCCCATTTCCCCATTTCAGGGGCTCAATAAATGGCCCATTACCTGTTTGTTGGCATGAGCAGTGTCTTTATTCTTCATGGTATCATATCCAGGCAGCCTGTGACGTCTGCTCATCTGGAGAGCCACCAGGTCCTTCATGATGGATTTCAAGGCCTCCTGTTCATCTGTGAGGCACAAGAATTTTAGGAATAAGTGGCCTGGGTGAGCATCAACTGAGACACTTCTTGTGGAACAACAAACCTTTTCAGGATCTTTGCAAAGACACTGTGATTTTATTAGTCATAGAAAGCCCAAACTAACAGAAGATCATGAAGTAGTAAACAAACAGATAAATTTTAAGTCTCTTGTGTAATGTCACAGAAGGATCAGAATAAATATGCCCAGCCCCTAATTCTGTTTAAAAGGCTTCACAACAAACAGTACAACCTGAGCAGATCTGCTAGATCATCAGAGGTCACTTAGGAAGGGCAAACTGATGTGCTTCTGCCAAGGAAAACCTGGTAAAAATCTGTTCTTTCCCACTTTATATCCTGCTAACTCTCAATTCTTGCTTATTAGCAGAACAAACCACAGCCAGCAGAGAGAGAAACGAAAATCCGGGCGAAGAACCATCCTGGAGTATCTCTGAACACAGATCCACTCGCACTGATTGCCCCAACACGTTCCCCTCTTCCCTCAGAACAAGCTGATGGAACAAAATTCAAACCATTTTATGAGATTTCAAGATGAAATTTGATTTGAGCAGGTTCAAATCGTCCAGCACTAGGAACACTGTCTGCTGGCAAAGTACGACGCAGCAGGTTCAATTCAAGGCTTCTTGCCTTGCAGGAAAACACAAACACACACTGAATTTTTTCTTGCATGTACTACTGACTAAAAATTGCTTTCTGAAGTGAACATTCCTGATATAAGCAACTTAATGTGTTCTCTCCCATTGCCTGTTAGTTTTGAGGAGAGATGAGTATTTATTTAGCAGAACTTTGTATGAAATCTAGAGAAAAGAAGACATAAAAGGGGGAAAATGCTCAGTAAATGTGATGGATGGTGCAAAAAGGTCTAAAAGCCACGGAAAAGAATCCTTTGCTCCAGCAAGGATAATGATCCCAAATTCTTTGAAACTGGAAAAGGTAAAAGAAGTTGCCATGTGAAGTTTTGTCCAAAATGGGACTGCACTGGCCACTGTGCTCCAGGCACTGCCACAACCAACAAAGCAGCCTCAGATGCCTTACTTTGCTCCTGGCACAGTCACCTGGTGTCTCACACAGCAAGACTCAGAGTGTTTTTAGGGATAAAGTGCTGTTTCCTCGGCAAATAATACACCCAGTGAAATCCTTCCTGACACCGAGGCATTCTTTAGGCATGAAATGTGAAGCAGTGATTTGATCAGCTCTGAACATCCCCAGCAGAATCTGCCCTTTCTAAACGAGTCTGGGTGGACCTGGCCACTAGTTTTGAATGTAAAGCTGCTTGGTTTTTTTTGTTTTTTTTGATAATTGGAGCTTTTGGAAGTGATGTGAGCCCCAGAAGTTATCACAGCCCTACTCAGATGACAGTGTGTGCAGTGCTTGAAATGCACAATTCCTCCTGAAGTCCCCAATCACTTTGAGGAGTTTGAACTGAAATGAGCATTTCTGAAGCTGATTTGTAAACAACTGAAACTTCATTTTAACAATCCACCATGGCTGAACACTCACTCCTGATTCGTGGCACTGGTCTGATGGGTAATGGTTTGCATTTGGAAGAGCTGTCCTGGGAACAGCTGCTGAACATTAAATGATGGACTGACTCGCATCTGTATTTCTCTGTACAAGGGACTCACTGGGACTATTTGTTTCTTCAATTTTATGTCATGGATTTGTTCGTGAGTGTCTCCAAAGCAGCCAGCGTATGTTTTATGCACAGACTGGCTTCATAATTAATCAGTGTCTGAATAACAAACTGGATTTTCGCAATGCTTGAAGATGACAGATGTGGGACATGTACAGCCTGTGGAGCAGTCAGGGAGCAAATGCTACTAAAAGCAAAATGGGGGAAAAAAATATACCTATTTGTAAGGAAGAAACATCTAAAGAAGTCCCAGGGAAAAGTCACACTAACAATATCTTTGGTACAACAAATAGTTTCTGCCCAGGTCTGCTTTGGCTTTCATAGGATCACAGCATCATAGGGGAGCTTGAGTTGGAAGGGACCTTAAAGCCCATCCAGTGCCACCCCCTGCCATGGGCAGGGACACCTTCCACCAGCCCAGGTTGCTCCAAGCCCCGTCCAACCTGGCCTTGGACACTTCCAGGGATCCAGGGGCAGCCACAGCTTCTCTGGGCAACCTGTGCCAGGGCCTCCCCACCCTCCCAGGGAAGGATTTCTTCCCAATATCCCATCTAACCCTGCCCTCTGGCAGTGTTAATCCATTCCCCTTGTCCTGTCACTCCAGGCCCTTGTAAATATTCTCTCTCCATCTTTCCTGTTGTCTCCCTTCAGGTACTGGAGGGCCACAATCAGGTGAGTCCTAACTCAGTCCAGAGACTACCCAAGTTCTGAGGTACATCCTCTGTGGTCTTCAGACTCTACTACCAAAGCCCAGAAACATCAAGCCTAGGCCAGACCATGGAGGGGAAGAAACCTCCCAGTGCATCTGCAGAAGGTGTTAATTAGAGTAAAACTCTCAAAAAAGGAAAGCAGAGCAGAGAAAGTAAAAAAAATCAGAATCAAAACCCACCAAATCTCTGCTGTCCAAGACAAGCCAAATGAGACAATAACCACATTGTGGCAGTGGAGAAGAGAGAGCACTCCTTGAAATTCCAACTGCATGTAAAAGAAGCGAGGAGTGTCAGTAACACAACCAAAGCAAGAGGCTGCTTTTTGAGGAGCACATCAGCCAAAGGAAATAATTGCTGGGATCTATCTCAGCACTAAGTAACCCCTTGTGGGAGGAAAACGTGAAAAAACAGTTGTGAATGAAGCTAAAGTTCCAGGTAGGTAACAGCACAACTTTTTCTTTTTTTTTAAAAAAAAAAGTTTCCAACTTCACATTTAACCTCTTACCTTACTGGAGTGTCTCCAGTTTACTTGTATTCTTCAATTTGGATTGATATTAAGCACAGCCTTGGAGTCATCTGGCAGACAAAGGCTATAACTGTGCACAACAAAATACTACAACCTATGGACTGGCAGATCCCTGGAGTTCCTACCACCCAAAACACACCGGGAAGAGCTGGGATACAAGTTTTCCACTACAGTGCAGTTTGGGTTTGGCCAGATACCAGGAGGATGAAGAAGAGCTTGTGTTGGCAGCACTCCTCTGGGCAAGAAGCAAACCAGCTATGAAAGCAGTTTATAACTGAGGGCTCATGACAAGAAATCAAGTCAAAGAATATGTCTGTGAATAAGAATTCGCCTCGAAACAGTATCATCACCGGAAAATCAGGATCAACGCTCACAATGGTTGGCTACAGGTGTTTGATCCCAAATTCCAGGCTGTGTGGAGTCTCACAGTGACTCATTTGTGTGAGGAACTGGGCACAGAGGACAGGCATCCAACCAACTATGTGTCTCTTGATACAGATTGCAGCTTGGTACGTGGAGAATTCATTTATTAGCCGAGGCAACTTGTGAATTTACAATCTATTAAACTCCTAAGGGCAGCACCTGGAAGCACCAGAGCTCAAAGAGTGTTTGGACAACACTCTCAGGCACAAGATGGGATTGCTGGGGTGTCCTGGGCAGGGCCAGGGGTTGAACTGGATGATCCTTGTGGGTCCCTACTAACTCAGGATATTCTATAATTCTATAAATCCCAGTTAGTGCCCTGCAAGGTCACTGCAAACTCACTTTCCTCTGTGCCAAAGCTGAAATCTTACTCATCTCCACAAAACTGGAACAGTTAATGTTCTGTCAAAGGTGATGGAACAGCTTCAGGTGAGTTTGAATCTTATTATACAGTTTTTAGTAGGTTTTAGTACCAAATCATATATCTTGTAATTCATCCCTGTGTTGATGAGATAGGAAATGACAGAGTATTTATCTTTTAAAAACACAAAGTTAAATACTGATCTGAGGTTGTGTAGGGAAAAATCATCTCCAGTTAGGACAGCCCTGTGATGGATTTAATGCTGAGAAGCATGAATACTTCTTTATTTCCCTCAAAACAGAGGATTTCCATAGATTGACTTGGAAAAGCACATGGAGCAACATTACATTAATCACACAATACAGAAGTTGCTACAAATGAAAACGAAGCAATTCTTGGAGTGCACTGAGAGACCCTGTTTTGCCTGGTCTCCAGTAGGTCTGGGAAACACAGTTCTGCTTTGTGCGGGAAAGATGTTGTCCAGGAAATGCTTTTCATGTTTTAAAAACTACACTCAAGGATTTTTATAACATCGATAAAAGCGAACTGCTGCTCCCAGAGAAAGCTATTCCTCTCCATAAAGCATTTATTTCAACGAATCCCTGGCTTCTTCCACAGGTTTGAGCGAGTCAGAAATGGAAACTCTTTTGAAAATAAAATAAAAAAATCACAAAGTTCAAACAGCGAAAGCATCTGCCCATGGGTAAAAACAGGAAGTCTGTGAACCCCTCTAACCCAGGATGGTTTTATTTAGTGTGATAATGATGCCACATTAGTTTAGAAGAGAAAGAAGTGAATAAATCTCTGTTTTCTACCCCCACAACAGCAAAGTTGGTTGGGGCAAGCCATCGGTAAATCCAGGGGCAACGAGGAAATTTTAGACAAATTGGGTCCATGAAAAAAAATCTTGGAAAGTTTCATTTTGAGTCCTTTGCTGTGGGCAGTTTTAGTGGTACCAAAATGCTGTTCTGCCCAATTTTTAGGAAATCATAGGTGACTGGTTTGTAGAGCGAGATGAAAAATCAGAGACTACCATGGACACAGTACGTGCGGGATATATTTAGGGTCCCTTTTCTCACCCAGAAGTTAAAGGAAAAGACTGGGATTTGGGATTTGAGCTAGTCCTAACCTGCAGGCTCAGCTCTGTCCCTCCCCCCGGGTGTCACTGAGCTGTGGCCATGGGTGCGTGTGTGAGCCAAGGGAAGGAAGTGACACAGGCAGGAAAACCGAGCGGATCGAGGGAACGACGGGACGGGAGCGGGGCCTGCACAGCGCCCACCCCGCACTGCTCGGCCCTCCCAGCACAGGCACCTCGTGTTTCTCCATATGAGAAGCAAATATCTGTATTTTAAAGCCTGCCAAGGAGGTGTCTGGAGGGAAATAAACCTCGGGGATTGCCCTGGAGGTGCAAGGTTGGAGAATCGCTCCAGGTGAGTTCCAGCGAACTGTGTCACCAACCACCCCACGTGTCCTCCAGAGCGGGTCATGAAACACAAGATGCAAGAAAAGCAGAGCACGATACAGCCCATTATCCATTATTAATTAGATCATGTGATCACAACTGCCTAATAAACTCAGATTTTTCCCATTGTAAGGGATCTGCAGCTGTGCCATGACACACATGATGCTGTGGTGGAGCAGTCCATGAAATTGTACTTTTTCATTCTGCACTCACGTGTTTACAAACACACATTCAGCTGCTATTGGAAAATGCTTCCATGGAAATCCAACCTCTTCCTTCTCAACAATTTTAAGCTTATGAACCACCTGCCTGGTTCTGTAGAGGAGGTACAGAGAGATAATCCCATACCTCTCTTTACAGCAGAGAATTCTAGTGATGGATCTGCACAGATTTGTTGTATTTACCAAATCAAACCAGAGTACAGAGGGATTGAAGTTGTTGGAGTTTAGCTTTGAGCAACACTTGCAGTGCTTCATGAATTCAAAATATAAGAACTATTTATGCATACAGACCAAATGAAGGACAGGCTCAGAAAACTAAACTTGGTTGAAGGGAAGAAACACTGAAGTTGTAGCCCATGAAGCCATGAAACTCCACACTTACAACAGGAGTAACTCCCTTGCCCTTATGCAGATATGAATAAGTTCTGGTTCAGATCAATCAAGAATTTAATTCTAGCACGAGACCTCTCTTTAAACTTTAAAGGGAATTAGGAAACATAACCCCCCCTCTATAAGCAGTTTTTTATACAGGAGATACAGTCCAAATCCAAATTAATTCCAATTAATCAATCAATTTCAGTCATGGCAACTCCTCGCAGCAACATTTTCCTCTTGAAAAATAAAAAGAGTTCCTCCAACTCCTCTGCTTGTTTTTATGTGTTGCTGCCCGGGCTGAGAATGGCAAACAAGAATTCAGTGGAAGCTCCATAAAGAAAATACTATTCTGACGGACTCCCAGGCCACAATTAACACAAAACCTCCCCCAATTAATCCGAAGCCCAACTCCCGTCCCAAGAAGAGCCACCCTGACTTTGGGAGGCTGCAGGAGCTCCCTGAGCCCGACCGGGCCAAGTTTAGCAAAGCCCCGGGGTAGCAGGGGAGGGGGCACGGTGCTCCCCGCAAACACACGATTTTTTTACCATTTTAACCAAATCCTTGAAACTCCCCCACCATTTCCCGGCGGCGCTGCCGGTGCCGCGGTAACACCGCGGGCGGCGCGGCCGCGGCAGGTCCCGTCCGGCCCCTCCGCCCGCTGCGGGGGCCGCGGCAGGTCCCGGCCCGGCCCGGGCCGCACCGGGGGCAGCGGAGCCGCGGGGACCCCCCCCGCCATCCATCTCGGAGGGCGCATCGCCCCCTCCCCTCCCCGCCCGCCCTCCCCCGGCCCGTGAGGCGGCCCCGGTTCCCCGCGGCCTCCCCGCCGGTTGCTCACCCATGTCTGCGGGCGGCGGCGCCGCGGGCGGCGGGCGCTGCGGGTCGGCGCTGTCACCGCCGCGGTTCCATGGCGGCCGGGCCGATGGCGGGGGGAGGGAGGGCTCAGAGCCGCCGCGGCCGCCACATTCCCAGGCCCCGCGCCACCGCCGCCGCCGCCGCCGCCGCCTCCTCCTCCCGGCGGGCGCGCTGCGGGCGGGGCGCGGGGGGTCGGCGGTGCCTCACGGCCCGTCCCGGGGTCCCCTCACGGGGTCCCCTCACGGTCGGTGCCCCCCCCCCCGGCACAAACAAACCCGCTCGGCGGCCGCCGCGCACCCGCCGCCGCCGCCTCCTGCCAATCACAGCGGCACGCACCGCCCGCCCGCCAATCAGCGCCCGCCCGGCGGCGCCGCGGGCCAATGGGAGCGAGGGGAGGCACAAGATCGCCCCGCCCACCCCGTGCCGTCAATCACCCGATTCGCTGGGGGCAGGGACACGCCCCCCTCGCCCGTCCGCAGGTCACGCCCACTTGGCTGTCAATCAAAGTGATTGACGGCGCCCCCGCCACGCCCCCCTCGGCCGGGTCCTAGAGCCCGGTGTTAAACAGCTTAATTAGTGAACTGTGAATTATTAACGGAGCTTAATCAATCCTTTCCCAATCTCAGTATATTTAGCACTGACGCACTAAGCGATTTATCAATGGTAATTCCGAATCTATGGTTTCTGTCTATTTTTGAACTTTGCGGTAATAAACTATTTTTGACTTTGGGAAACTGTCTCAGTGGAAGTTCTGGGAAAGACTCTTGAACATCAAATTCAGGCTCCTAAGGCCACAGCTTTCAGTGTCCTGGAAGAGGGACAGGTCCCGAGCTCTCTGAACCTGCTGGTTTCTCTCCTCACAAGCAGAGCTTGGCAATGAGTTTAATTGCTGCTTTCAAAGCATCTTTTTAAGAGGGGAAAAAAACCCCAAAACCAAACCCAGTCCAAGACTGATAAAAAAGCCCCCAAAAATCTGAAAGCAAGATTCTTTTGGTGTTCAAAAAAAAAAAAAGTGACACAATTACCCAGAGCATCTGTGGGAAGAGATTTCTCTTCTAGGAGCTGTTCAAACCTGGACTATGTCCCCAGGCCCACGGGTCACCCCCACTCCCCCAGGGTCTGAAATCAGTGACAAATGTCAAAGTAGCAGAACAAACAAACAGCTTTTCTGCTTTTTAAGCCTTCAAACCCCCTGTTTCATTTCCTCCACAGTCATGTTTCTGAGCCCTGCAATCACACACTGTGTCTGTCAAAATCAAGCTCTGGCTCCAACCTGCAGCAGTGACCTCCAGCCTGGTGTGTTTAGAGTTCAGCATTTCCTCCCCTTTCATTTAGGAGTTTATCTTAATAAGAAAGTGTTTTTGCTCTCAGGAGTGGAACTGCTGACCTGCCACATTCACTCACTTGATGATGATTTTTTTTCAGCTTTAGCATTTTGCTTTGTCCAGCCAATTTGAACACAGAGACCACAAGCAGAGTATATTATTGCTAAAAAAGTGACACTAAATACAAACAACTTTGAGGAGAAAAACCCCCCAAACAAACCAAACACAACAGATTTTCATAGATTTTAGGGCAAAGGGCTGATTGTCCAATCTAACCCAGGAATTCTACTCCAAATTCGTAGAATCAGGAATGGTTTGGGCTGGAAGGGACCTTAAAGATCATCTTGTTGTACTCCCCTGCCACAGGTCGTGTTTAAATCAAATCATACCTTCTGAAGTGACATCCAGCCTCCAGCTGCTCTTTCCCAGCTCCTGCTCCCATTCCACCTGAGGGCTGATGTTTTCACAGTGTCTTTTCCACAAAAGGAACAGCAGAAGGGGTTTGTTGTTCTAAAAAGGAGCCCAGCCCTGCTTCCCTGGGGCGGCCAGGGCCACCCTGCTGCTGGGAAACCCACCTCGAGCAGATGTTTTAGCAGCTGCTTTTCAATCTGGCAAAGGTCTGGCAGCAAGTGCAGGGCTTTGGGAGGGTTTTTTTTTTTGCTCACAAACAACACAGCAGCAATGTCACAGGGGTTACAGCAACTGGATAAGCCACATTTCTTCTCCAGCCAGGAGAAGGGAACTGGATTGGAGAGGGAAATGGCTCAAAGGTGTGGGCAAGTAAAGGAACCTAAAGGAATTTGGGACTTAGCCAAAGCATGAGAGCATAATGTGTGATATCATGGATTTTTTTGTATTTTTTTTAAGTGTCTAGATGGGGTAATAAAAAGATCTCATGGTGTCATAGCAGGTAGACATGGAAATAGGTGAGGGAATGCTTTGATCCACAGATTGAGCCTCGGAGAGGAAGAAGCTGTGGGAAAAGCCAATAATCTGACTTTGAATCATGGAACATCCTGAGTTGAAAGGGACCCACCAGGATCATCCAGTCCAACCCCTGGCCCTGCACAGACACCCCAACAATCCCCCCCTGTCCCTCAGAGCGTTGTCCAAACCCTCCTGGAGCTCTGGCAGCCTTGGGGCTGTGCCCACTGCCCTGGGGAGCCTGGGCAGTGCCAACCACCCTCTGGGGGAAGAACCTTTCCCTGAGATCCAACCTGACCCTGCCCTGGCACAGCTCCAGCCCTTCCCTGGTCCTGTCCCTGCTCACCCAGAGCAGCTGTCCTGCTTTGGGCAGAAGGTTGGGCTCCATGACTCCCACAGATCCCACTCTGAAGTTCCCATCTTAAAACCAGGCTGAGGCTGTGAGTGTTGACACTTCTCTTTTTCTTTAGTCCCTCCTGTCTTACTGCTCTGATGTCAGGAAAGCATTTCTAATTTTTTTTGTCTATTCTATCCCACTTCCATGCCCAGCTTGCAGCCACTTGTTTTCATGTCAAGATTATCCTTCTAATTAAGTAATACTTCCCTCTTCCCTGGAATTGTCTCTCTAAATACATCACGAAGATAATCATATCTCCTTTCAGGCTTCACTGTAATAGAAATCCAGCCACTCTCCCTTCATAATACAAGCTTTGTATTTGTGGTATCTTCCTGGTAGCTTTTTGCCCCTGTTCCAATTTGAACTCCTCTCTCATTTGACAGCATCATCAGTGATCTTGGAACCACTTTTTGACATCCTTTTTCACAGCTTCATGGGGGCTCAACACTATCCTTTATCAACCACTAAATCCCAGTTTCCTCTCCTCACTGATTTCCAAGTAAAACACTCTCAGTATCCCTCACAAATTCCTCCTTGTCCCTAAATTCCCAGCCTGCTACATTTAATCTCATCTCTATTTCTCACTCTTCAAAGTCATCAAATCTCCAAGATATTCCAGTTCCTTCGTATTACTGAAGCCTCACACTTTTGTTCATCACCAAATTTGATTTTAATTCTCGCTTTTTGTGCCAAGGTCATTATAAAAAGGCTTTTCCTAAGAGAGGGAAGAGCCCACCCCACGCCCTGGCAGGTAGGAATTTCATATCAACTCTCCACTGCACCAGCCCTGATTTCAAACCACTCCATCATCACCTTCCCATTTGATATTTTTGTCTATCTTGCAGTTCTTACATGTTTGCACATAAAATTCTCAGCTGAAGTCCTGTTAAGTGGGACTGATTCCATGTCCCTCATGGAGAAACTCAGTTTATTTAAGTCCAAGAGATATTAGAGCAGCGAGTTGCAGCCTGTGACAGGAGCCAGGAGCTCCCAGCAGATGGTAGGAGACACCCACCCTGGAGAAACTCTCTCTTCCCATCTCCAACTGCCCGGAGTGTCTGGATTTCACTGAAGCTTCCCCCCCTCCCCTCTTCGTTCAAATTGAAAATAGAATGATTTGTCCTTAACAGCTCATCACTTCACCCACCTGTCAAGCCTAATGTGTAAAGCAACAATTTTATCTGCTGGTTTCCCCATTTTCCAGACATTCTCACATCACTATCTACATGAAGTGCCATCAGGACTTTTTTTTGGACCACTACAGACCCTCACACCCTTTTTTCTCCCGCCCTTACAAGCTGGTAGGTCCTTGCTGAGCAGGAATCCAAGTTGCTACCAAAATAGGCACCCCTACTCTGTATAACTTGAGAAAAAAAATGTGTAATTCCTTTTTCACCTTAATGCTGTACTAGTCTTGAGCATAATCACAGAATCCCAGGATGGTTTGGGATGGAAGGGAGCTTAAAGATCACCCAGTCCCACCCCCTGCCATGGGCAGGGACACCTTCCACTAGCCCAGGCTGCTCCAAGCCCTGTCCAACCTGGCCTTGACCTTCCAAAACTGCAGCTTTCCAGCAGAGAAGTTTCACTCCTGTAAACAGCAGCTACAGAACATGCTTAACTCTATTTATTCAGATTGTTTGAGGCCACTTAATGTAAAATCATCAGTAAAGACATTCATGGAGACTCTCCAGGAGCTCCTACATTTCCAGGCAGCCCATTTGTTTTAAAAGAACTTTTATAGAGGCCTAATGGTTTAATGCTGTCACGCAGCATCAAGGAAGAAAAGGAAGTGTAATCCCTATTTTAGGGATTTAAGGGCATTGCACAGAGAGACAGTGACTCGTTAAAACTTACACAGGAAGTCTGGAGTAGACCTTTGGGATTTAACTCCTGGCATCTTCCCCCAGTGTCTTAATCACTCTGCCATCGTCTTATTTTCTATTTTGGTAGTATTTCCATTTGCTGAAGTGTACCTGACTCAAAGAGCCTCTTTTCCTTGCTATCAGATGTACTATTTCTTCTTTCCTTCCTGTTTCCCTTCTTGTTTAGGTAGACACATCCTTCCTGGGGAGCTGAGCAGGCTCCAGGCTCCTTGTCCCATGCCAAAACTTCCTTATTCTACATCTTGGACTCCACAGTCAGAGAAAAGTGGGGGAGGAGGAGAAACCCTGTCAATAGAATCAGAGAATCCCAGGATGGTTTGGGTTGGAAGGGACCTCAAAGCCCATCCAGTGCCACCTCCTGCCATGGGCAGGGACACCTCCCACTATCCCAGGTTGCTCCAAGCTCCATCCAAGCTGGCCTTGGACACTTCCAGGGATAGGGCAGCCAATCTTCAAAGGATGCATGGAAGTATTCTGCAGTCTCTTCTGCAGATCTGAGTCATCTCACTGATGCCAGGCAGTTCTGCTTCTCCCAACAATTCCTTGTCGTGTCCTCAGCTTTGAAAACAGAGTTAATGGAAAAACTATCATTGTTATCCAAATTCAGGGCAGTGTGGCAGGAGATATGTTGGCCAAAACTCTCCTCTAGCACATCAATCACGAGAAAATCCTTCAAAACATGC